CAGTCTGAAAGTTGATACGCTTTGAGCAGACAGATGGGTTTTTCATTCTTTCCTCTAAGCTTTTCCTGTGCACATGCAGGTCAGCTGGTGTAGTCTGCTAACTCGTTTAAAATCCCTCCTGCTTGAGTTTCCTACAGTGATGAAAGCCATTAGTCTTCTTCGTGCATCTGTACCCAGGCTTCCTAGCAGGAAGACCAACATGTGTGTGTGTTATTGCTGTGCCAACCTCATTCACCCCTGAGTTGGTTTGTCAATTGGCTGCAGCAAGTGAGCATTTGCATAATTGTTTCTCTCTGGAATATCCTGCCGAACCAGTGTTGTATTTGTGTGTGCAAGTGAGTTAAATGTCCAATCAGACTTCGTTTTTGATGATCACATGACATTAAGCTGGTCTCAGCTGAAGAGGACAAGGGATTGGGGTCAGGACATTGTTTGGGAGGAGTGAATAGCACGTTTAGTTTTGTATTTGCATAATGACCGGCAATCCTTTGGCTGATGGTTTGTGGTTTGCTCAAGTGCATGTTTTATCTAAGCATAATTGTGTGAGTTGAGAGGCTGTTTTGAGAGGTTATTCACTCAGTTCACCCACCTCAGTAGCATTTAGCCTCATGTTAGCTTCGAACGGTTATTTACAGACCGCTTTGAGGAGATGGGCCTGGCTAGCTACACTACCCTTGGCCAGTGAATGCTGTTCATTTTCATATTTGAACAAAAAATGGGTTAAAAATAAAATAATTCTAACTTTTAAGGTAGTATGGTTCACCCTATTCAACAGTAGGATACATTTTGAATCTAGTATACTGAATCCCTGATACAAACAAGAAGATTGTCAGCTACTTTCAGTAATGTAATAAAATGTTCACTCTGACAGCTCTATCCCAGGGCACACTTACAGGGAGGCAATTCCCACAGCGAAGTGTTACTCCCTTTTAGATAATTATTTTATTTTATAGTATTGTTTTTTAAATCTTTTTTTTTTTTTAAATCAAATATTTAGTCAATGATCATGTTTTGACTTTAAAACTTAAACATACACATTTTAAATATGGCCGCATAAACCAGAAGTTGCGACCAACTTTACTTTTACAGATTGAAACAGAATATTAAATAGAGGTCAGGGCTGTTTTTTCCAAGTCATCAGAGGTGGAATGCCATTCCAGAAGGGAAGGAAATTCTCAGATTTTGATTGAGGACTATGAAGACAGACATTTGTTTTGTTTTTTGGATTTATTTGCACAAACTAATTGTTCACCATAAGACGAATAATGTGCACTAACAAACTAAATGCGGTCAAATTGATTTCATGCAGACTTTAAATGTCTTTTTAAATTTCTTGTAATTTCATATTTATTATTTTTACTATACTATTATACTATTAGTTAGTATATGATTAGTATTAGTTATTGTGTACACAAAGAACATTTGCATGTATATAGCATACACTATGAATGCATGTATTTTTTTTTTAAACAGCTTGCTTAGTTCACTCATATTGAATCTTCTCAGGCCTAATGTCTGGCTTGATGTCTAATTTACAAATCCTCATGCTTTCATTTGAAGCCTTTTACATGTTCAGACAGATTTAAGGGATTTTCAAACATGCATATGTGAATTTTTAACAGTCTAATGGCATTACAATTGTCACTTAATTTGGGTTTGATATTTCAAGCTTGAAAATGAAAACAGCACACGTCTTTGAGGGGGAGGTACAAAATTAAATTGTATAACGCAGATGATGATTCTGCATCCCACTGTTCAGTGTGGTGGTCGTCATGGTAACAGGCCTTAACTTTTGCCATGGCTTGCGTGAGCAGTGTTGACGTAGGAGACATGAATGGCAAGAGATAATTTGAACTCTTTGTGTTTTCATTTCCCATCTAAATTTTAAGGACTTTAATACATAACAGGAAGTGCTTATATAGGCTTTGAATGTAAAATCCTTTCTCATTTATGCTTTCAATTGAAAATATCAGAATGAAACCTGTCTGTGTCACAAAACATAGTAGAGGCTCTAGAATGATACAAACATGTGTGAGTGACCCACACATGTGCGTATGTGAGCAAGGCCAGGCTTGCCGGTTTTCCATCTGTCTTTCGGCCCCTGTGCTGATCTTCCCATCTCATCAGTGTTCTGATATGACGGGTGAACAGCACAGTGCATGATGGGAGAGGCGTTTATAGTCCCTCTGTGTGTTTTGTTCCAGGAAAGAGGCGCAGAAAGACTGTGGTAATGTAAATCCCTGTGTGTCCACTGCTCCAGTTTCCAGTTGGCCTTAGGTCAGAAGTGTAATCGCTCTTTATTTAGCCTCTCTTTCTTCTGAATGACACAGGCCTGTCCTCGACACATTGACCATGCGAGGATGCAGGACACGAGAAAAGGAGCAACCTGGGAACGTATCAGTTATCTTTCCGAAGAGGCACACAACTAACCAGCTTTCTGAGAAAGATGCCTTCATGAAAACTCTTGAGACCAGGATGGTCCTGTGGATTTGTCCTCCCCTTTTATAGTAAAGCTAGATAATAAAGCTAAAAGTAACATTTTGGTTGTTGCTTTTTGACAATATTTCATATACCAAGATTTATAAAAAAAAATTCTAGAATTAAAGATTAAATTCGAATTAGAGTTTTGTTGAAGCTGATTGTGGGCAGCACTTCGACACGCAGCATGGTTGCGTTTGGAAGACCAGAGTTTGAATCCCAGCTCATGGTCCAATCGCTTTCCTTCTCTCTCTCTCCCACTTTGCCTCCTGTCCACACTCTCTACTGTCCTATCTGAATAAAGGCAAAATCAAAAATGAATCTAAAAAAACTTAAAAACTGATTTGAGTCCACCCTCCACATCTATTAGCTTTCAGGTTAACTGTCTGCTAGTATTCTAAAATGATGACTTTTATTTTTATTTATGTTGTTGTTGTTGTTGTTTTTGAAACCTATATTTTGACCAAAAAAAAAAACCATTGTAACCAAGTAAATTCAAATAGTTTATTAATATAGAAATATAATATGTCAAAAGTGTTCGTATCACTGAGTGCTGAGGAAGCAGAGATGGTCTGATTGAAGTGGCTTTGGAAGAACCCTCCGGGGCTGAAATTCAGCTATGGTAATTGCTGTTTCGTTTCCAACACGCGCTGTAAGTGGTAGACCAATCACAACAGATGGGCCATCTGACCAATCAGAGCAGAGGAAGCTCTCGGAAAGGAGGAGTTTAGTGAGAGGGCACTTTAATCCAATGTACTACCTACTCTGGCAGTATGCGATTTCGGACACCGCTAAGGAGTGACACGTAATTATGGTAATATTCAGATACTCACCAGCAAAATCATTACAGATAGTGCTGTATATTGAATATTCATTATAAACTTTCTAGTCTAGTTTTCAACTGATATCTTGCAGAGAGAAGAGGCTCAGTACTTAGCCCTCCTCTCTCATTTCCACTGAATAATAGATGAAGACTGTGAGATTAGCCAGTGTCCCATAGGTGCTCCTGGTGATTTACTCACTGCAGGGGGCTCAAACGTCCTCATCTGCAGAGAACCTTGTGCTTAATTAGACCATTGACTTTTTATGTATAATCCGCACCTCTTTCCCTTCTCTCTTCTATCCATGCGCACTTTGAAGTGGAAAAAACACCACATTTCTCTATTTCTGGGCTGATCCGTCACTTTTGTTACAGCGGGAGCAGGAAAGGTTGTTGTAATGTTGTTGTTTGGATTGTTGCTATGACAGCAGCATATGCATCCCATTTGTCAGTCACCCTTTTATTTTCCGCCCACCTAGCCAACTGACCTCGCCACCCTGCGCTCTGCTGGTGGAATGTGTTTGTCTGGATCGAATCAAGGCTTGAACTCTTTCGGGGCCGTGCCGGGTTCTTCGAGTCGGTCGAGGGGACTGCAGCAGCTGGCTTTCTCATACCTATAAATATCCTACAGTAGATTCCTGTGGCCCTGCAGACTTTTGAGTTGCTCACTCCCAGGCTTAGCGTTCTGATGGTGTGGACTTGTTGAGATGAGGGTCTGGCTGAATATTTGGGACACGCCAAATACCAAACGAGCCTGTAGATTCCTGTTTATTAAGACTGCAAGGATATGTAGTAGGCCTATGTGAGATATGTCAAAGAAATCAGGAAAAGTTAAATTGTATTTCAACTGTGAGAAATGGGAAGAATTGTGGGTAGTCAAATGCAACAGGTGGACCTGCTGATCCCACACAAAGACATTTTTGAGTCATCAGTTTTTTTTACACAGGCCCCACTGGATTGAATGTGTCCTCTCTCAATTGTTGAAAACAAAAATACCTCCCAAACACGTGGTTGTGGAGTAGTTAGTTATGCACATGTGACTCTTTTATTTCTCATTTGACAGACATTTCATTCAATCAGAGGAATTCATGGAAATTTTCATTTTGGTTTACATACGGTGGTGATTTATGGCCACTTGAAGGCTGACTCAAACTTTCTTGATCATGCAGGGCTTTGATGTCAGGTCAATAAACCTGAAAAAAATATATAAATATGAATATTCAATTTATTTGTATTTAATTTTGTATTTAATGGTCTGTTATTGTACAGTCTGTTACAGTTGTGTTTAACTGTTTGTCCATAGCAGACTGAAATTATGTTGAATTGAAATTATTCAATTCAACATTTTTATTGAATTGGATCATTTCATTTTCAACATTTTTCAACAGATCAACATTTTTACAGTTCACAGGCTGTTTTCTGTGAATTGAGTACACGTTTATATTCAGTCTAAATTTAAATTTAGTAAATTTCTATCATGCAAAAATTATTCAATTCAACATTTTTATTTTATTATTATACATTAGTTATACATTTATTAATTTTTACATTACAAATTATATTATCGCCATAATTAAAATAAATTAAAAGTATATCTTGTCACCTTTCACTCTAGATATTGGGTATTGAAACAACCCATATTGGTCAACCACTAGGTGTTTTGTGTGAAAAACTGAATTCTGATTTTTCCTGTCTTTTCCAGTTATTTTGAACCCCAAGAACCCAAAGGAAGGACCCAAATCCTTCAGCTTCGACTACTCGTACTGGTCTCACACCTCGGTAAGTCTCATTTTCTCTCCCTTTCTCCTGTCCTTTTCCTGCTCTTTTTGCTTTTTCTGCTGAGCTTTCTCGGTGGACAATAAAATGTGCATGTGGTCAGATTTACAGCTGTAATTAATCATCCTCCAAAAAAGTCTGTATTAATGTCTTTTGTTCCCCTTTCTTCATTTCTTTGCTAGCCGGACGACCCCAGCTTTGCGTCACAGAGCCTTGTGTACAATGACATCGGAAAAGAGATGTTGCAGCATGCTTTTGAGGGATATAACGTCTGCATTTTCGCCTACGGCCAGACCGGAGCTGGCAAGTCCTACACCATGATGGGAAAGCAAGAGGAAGGACAGGAAGGCATTATTCCTCTGGTACGTATGTAATATCACAGCATATGTATCACCTTAATGGATCCAGAGTAAAAGACATGCTTAAGAGCTCAGCAGCGACTGAGATGTTTCTGATCTCAAAGCAGACATTGCCAGAAGACATTAAGGCATTAGCTCTCCGTCTAGCACGTCCTGCAGTTATTTGTGCTCTGTATCGATCGCTCTCTCTTTCCTCCCTAATGTGCTCTTTTGTCCCCCTCCCAGCTCTGTGAAGATCTCTTTGAGAAAATCAATGACAATAACAATGAGGAGATCTCGTACTCGGTGGAGGTGAGCAGCAGACACACCATGACTCCTTACTCCATTCCTGTGACTCACTTCACATGCTCTCCTTAATCTGTTGAAATGCTTTTTTAGCTGTGTTACCTAAAAACATTAAACTCAATAGAGGGGGGTGATGGGTTTGATCAGAGCCCACTCAAGTATTCAATAACTGAGAGTAAAACATGTTCAGCTACAAATAAATTGGCAGTGGTATTAAATATGCTGTAAATATTCGCTGTGATGCTATTTAATTTTGGTATGATTCATAATTGGTTTGCAAAGATATACTGAAGACAATTGAATGCGTCCTGATCTGAAATAGATTGTTAATCTGGATTTGGTGGATATGCATATATAACAACATAAATGTCTTTACTCACTTTTGATCAACTTAATGCGTTCTGTCCTTGCTGAATAAAAGTATTGATTTCGTTAAAAAAAATATTACTGACCTTAAACTTTTGTACGATAGAGTACATTTTTTTTTTTAGAGTATCTTGACTTTGCAAAATTCCACACATTGCCTTGAAAAGATCCAAAAAACTGACAGAGTAGATTAATATATATGTAATTGTTATATGCTCATTGTAGGTGGCTTATATGGAGATATACTGTGAGCGAGTGAGGGACCTGCTAAACCCTAAGAATAAAGGGAACCTACGTGTCAGGGAACATCCTCTACTTGGGCCTTATGTGGAAGACCTCTCGAAACTGGCCGTCACCTCTTACACAGACATAGCTGACCTCATGGATGCTGGAAACAAGGCTAGGTGAGAGAAAAATCCTATATGTTGTTGACTCATATAAATCACTATTTTGTATTGACAATGTAGAACATTTCAAATCAGGTACTTATAAGGTTATTTTTTTATTTTGGATGCTGATTTTGAAGGATAGAGGTTGGACTGATTGTCAAGGGGGAAATGGGAAAACTGTTGTTGTAATGTTTCCTCCAGTGATACTCAGACTGACAGTCATGTGTAAAATGTGACTCTTGGGAAGGAGTAACACGCTTCTAATCCTCCCATGCTGATTACCAAGGTTTATTTGTGGATAATGTGACATGTAAACCCTGTTTCTCATGAGAGCATCCCACCCTGTGCCATATTCGGCACATTAGATGTGCTGATGTCTAATTCCTGCACTTACTAGCACTTTCCAGGATTATTCTCTCACACTCTGGTGATAAGCATACAGAGCTGTACATGAACTTCCGAAGTAGGGAACTTTCACCTTCTTCAGGCCAAAGATAAAGAGATAAAGAGACAAAGCCTTGCCTATAGAATGTGGATTAGGGGTTGAATGACTTCAGATTTTCTGATATCAACATTTATGTGATTTAAAGTTGAGATGACGTCGATTAATCGCTGATGATGTCATTAATGAACAGATGCAGGTTGCCTTGTGCACAGCTATGCCATATGACACAGCACTGCCCACAAGGCTATTGCTCCTACATAACAGCTTTTTATCAGTTCTTTTGTGTTTGTGTTATATTTCTCACAGATTTCTGCTTGTTCTAAATCAGATACAGATAAAGTTGCACAGTAAAGATTACATATGAATGAATTATTGAGGGAGAGATTGCATGGGAATTAATTCTACCAGGCAGCGTTTCTCTACTAATAGTGAAGCTGTGGGTTTTAGTTACTAAGAATCTGAAAAGGTCTAACTTCTAGCATATATTTCTAAGTTATTTTATTGATAAATCAAAGATCAGTGTTGACGATACATTTCTGTGCTACTGAATGATTCTGTGTGCGCACAGAATCTGCGCAGGATGTGCGAGGTACTGTCTGTATGTATGTGCGTTTCAATGTAGCAGCGCATTAGTTTACAACGGCTGTTTAAAACGTGCATACACCCAATCAATTTTGAGCATCCAGATAAACATATCTTGTGAAGCGCTCTCGGAGTATGCATTTATTTTACATTTTAACTGTTGGAAACGGAGCGTAAAGTGGACTTCAAAGATTTCTTATCCTGTTGTGCCCTCTATAGGCCATGATCAGCGACTAGTCGACGTCAAGCTTAAAGCGTCATGGCAGAACATGAATGTGTACTATATTTCAATTGTACTTTTAATGTTGGAGGGACAATGGAAGATAGCCTTTTAACTTTTATAATGATTTTTATTGTATTTTTGTGTAGTGCATATTTTGTTTTCGTTGAGATCAGGGTTCAAACTTTATTATTGTATTTTTGTAATAATTTTCAAATAATAATATATTACTAAATAATAATAATTAAATATATATATATAAATTTTTTTTTAATTGAGGGATCCAATTAAAAAAATAATTATTCTTTATTATTTTTTATACTTTACTTTTATTAATTAAATTTTTTCCCCACAAAATTACTTTGAGTTCAGGGTTTACTATTTGTTTCACTCTAATATTTATATGTATATTTATTTTATAGTTCTATTTATATGCATATTTACATGTGAAAATTATGGCACTAATTTTGACCCTGTGTCCACAGAACTGTTGCCGCCACAAACATGAACGAGACAAGCAGCCGGTCTCACGCCGTCTTCACTATCGTTTTCACCCAGAGGAAGTACGACAGCGAGACAGACCTGTCCACAGAGAAGGTTGGATACTTTACACACATTCACAGCCATTATGACATTTCGCAGAGCTCAGAATAGTCCTGCAACACAAAGTCAGCAAATCCTGAACCAAGCAGAAAGGGAAACTGAGAGAAAGAGACCCGTCCTACTCGTCCTGTTTGTGGGGCTCATTGTGTAATTGCTGCAGACACAAAGACAGCTCTATGAGGTCCAGGGACACAATAGCTATTGTACAGAGCTACTACATTAGATTCACTACACAGGTCTCACCCCAGCCCTCGCTCTAATATTACGCATCCAGTTTGGCAGCAGCACCGCTGGCCCAAACTCAAGCACGACAAAATGAAAAGATAACCCAAGCATTCATTAGCACAATTAGTTTTGCATGCATGCACCAATGCTTTTACTATAGTACCCTAAAACGACTGGATGATTGAACTGTTTAGCAATGATTAACGGAACACATGATTTACAAATGTTTTCTGAATCAGTTTGATTTGAATCACCAGATTGATTCATTTGGACATCGCTATATCAGAAATATGTATATACTTCTATTCCTAATAGACACAAATCTTTGGACAGCATGAAAAAATAGACTCCCACATACATAGTATGCCAGACTGAAGAAATTTCCTTTTGTGTTTTATTTTAGTGTGTGTTGATCAGTCTGAAAGTATCTGTTTTGTCTTGTTTTAGGTCAGCAAAATCAGCCTGGTGGATCTGGCAGGAAGTGAGCGTGCTGACTCAACAGGGGCCAAAGGAACCAGACTGAAGGTACGGACTAATTTTACAGCCTCTCTAGAGTTCCACCACCACCTGCCATATGAAAAATGACTGTGCTCTCCTCCACACTCCTCAAATATTCCAGGAATGTAACATGCGTTACTGAACACAAAACACTTATGCATCAGCTATTTTTATGATTTTAATCAACAAAGGCTAAGGTCACAGTGCATTTAAGGTCTTGTTTGTTTTAAGGGCAATGTATTAAATTTGATTTAATCATAGTTTATTATTATTATTATTAAAATACCTGTTTGTGCTTTCTTAGGAGGGAGCAAACATCAACAAATCTCTAACTACACTAGGAAAGGTTATTTCGGCCCTGGCTGAGGTGGTGAGTAGTATTCATAAATTCTTGTCTCTCTCTCTCTGCCTGTTTGCCTGACTGTTTTCAGTACTGTAACTCTGTTTGCTGTGTGTCTCTCTCCTGGCAATGCTTCCCTTCTCAGGATAATTGTACCAGCAAGGTAATCTTTCCCTGTGGTCACTAACCAGCACTGAACCATTTCTATCTAATGGTTAAACCTATCCACCTTTATCCATGTAACCTTTTGTCTTAATAGTGTCCTGTCTTGATGTCTCATACATCAAGTAATTTCCTAAAGCCCTTTATTATTATAGCAGTAACTGTATATATGTGCTACATTCCAACATGTTTTACTGGCTGTTTTGAAACAGAGCAAGAAAAAAAAGAAGACAGACTTCATTCCTTACCGAGACTCAGTGTTGACATGGCTGCTAAGAGAGAATTTAGGTATGTATAGGGGCTTTCACACCGGAGGAAACTTTTCATATTGCCTATAACTAATGGCAGAAGTACCCACTTTTTGGCATGTTCGCGCCACAGTAACTGAGAACAATTTAGTTCTAGGAAGGCCCTTTGTGGGGACTAAATTAGTTCCTATTTCAGAGTAGGGTCTAACCCAGCACTTTAGGGAACTACCAGTGACGTAAGTGTACATTGATTGGTCGAACACATGCGTAACACTGGTAACAGGCATTTGTAAAAAAAGAAGAAGAAAAAAAGAAAAGAAAAAAGATTTTTATTTATTTATTTTTATTCCACTAAATTATGATCTATATTCAACTGATTTAATTAAAGTTTTCTCATAAGATGCCAAGTTGCCAACCAATAGCTATCAAATAAAACCCTTTCAACCCGAGGTGTTTTGTTGTTACGTTGTATTAAAATTATTGCAGAGATTTTAACCCACTCCATAGAGTTTCTCTCCAAGGTCAAATGTAATGCAGTGTTATAACCATTTTGAAATCTAACTAATTAATCATTTAACAGAAAAAGAAAACGCTTACTATTTACAATCACATCTTTTCTTATGCTCTTTTTTTTTTTTTTATGGTCTGTGGAACTCGTTAGGCCATCTTAGCTCAATACTCAAGTCAAAATTGCATTACTTAATGTTTCTAATTGTTTGCATAATTGTGCTCATCAACCAGGAGGGAACTCAAGGACTGCTATGGTGGCCGCCCTGAGCCCTGCTGACATTAACTATGATGAAACTCTCAGCACACTCCGGTAAGAATTCACTCCTACTTACCATCAAACAAGGTGACTTCCACTCTTACATCCTGATTGTGATAAGAGGGCTTTCTTGCTCTAGATAAAAACACTCTTGTGATATCAATGGCTGTTTGGATAATTTTCTTTGTTTGCTTATTCAAAGATATGCGGACAGAGCCAAGCAAATCAAGTGCAACGCCGTCATCAACGAGGACCCCAACGCAAAACTGGTGCGGGAGCTTAAGGACGAGGTGACACGGCTGAAGGACCTGCTCCGTGCTCAGGGTCTCGGGGACATCCTGGACAGTAAGTCGAGGCACAGCGCACCCCAATGGCCACTGACATATATGCCCAATTGCCAGACAAATGGGAGGTCACTTACTGCGCTCACAAGTGGCGAATTCTTTAGCTCTGATCTAATGCCGCAGTCTTGACAAGCTTGCATTGTCTTCATGTTGTTCCTTCTATGTCTTCATTTAACCATTCATCAACATGCGATGGAGATTAGCATTAGAATGGACATATGATGGTTAGAAACAGACAATACTGTTTTCCAACACAACATGTCCAGTTTAACCACACACAACATGCCAATTATGTAAAGTCAAGTGTTTCCCTCACATGTTTGTCTTCACAATATTTTGTCTAGTCAAATCTAACTGCCTCCGTCAGTCATTCCTCTACTAGTCCTCTCAACTCTGACTTCTCAACCTTCTCCTGTTCTTCCTGCTTCCCTTCAGTCGAGCCAATGGGGGATGATTGCCTTGGAAGTGGAATCAAATGTGTGTATACGCGTGACGGGGCCACATCCTTTTGCTCTCCCCTCTCGCTACTAATAGCTTATTCATCGCTTCTGGAATACAAACCTATCGGCTTTGCATGCCTCAGTTTTTTACCACAAGGAATCCCAGACAAACGAGATAAATATGGGATGGATGGGTTAACGTGCCGCTAGCAGGCTTTATGCTTGCTCTTAGCCTAATTTGATAGACTGTCTGGCATGATGCAGTCTTAATGGCAGGCTTTCCTCCAAATAAGCCCAAACCCCACCCACAGCACGATAGATCTGATAGACTGCATCTGGAAGCACTTAAAGGGATAGTTCACCCCAAAATGTCAAAAAAACCAAAACATTTTGTCATCATTAAATCTCTATTTTCTTTTGTGAAACACAAGAATGTCCTAGATTTCGTTTCCATATAAGGAAAGGTGATGTATACTTATTTATGCTAATTCTAAAAACAAACGGCAGCATAATGAATCATAAAAGTAGTCCAAATGAGCCATACAACTATACTTTGTGTGATAAACAGACCAGTAGTTTTTTGCATTTAAATTTACTTAAGCAAAATTGTATATAATATGAATATCCACATAATGAAATATTATATATTGTCAAAATTAATAGACAAATTTAACTAAGAAGTAAAATTGTATATAACATTCGGATGCTTTCAGGGTATAAATCTTGAATTGAAAATCAACATGAAACTGCTTCTCAACTCATATTTCCATAATCTGACAAATTTTCTAATGAAGTAATCAAGTAATAAATGAATGATGAATGTTGAAATAAAATGTATTTTGTTTTGTTCCATTGGGTTTTCCATTTCCGGTTTTAATTTAAACTTATTGAGGTTTAGGCTTATAGCAAAATTTGCCGATGAAATAAGACAAAATATAGCTTTAAAGTCAATAGCTTTGTGTGATAAACAGATTAATGGTTATTCTCGATTAAAGGAAGACTGTAAGTGAATGATGAGTAAATTTTTTTGGACGACTTTAAAAAATCTATTGTATGACATTCTGCTTAACGTTAAAGTTGAAAATCTGCTTTATATTTCGAATGATATGGGTGACTAAATGAGAATATACAGAATTTATTTGTATGTGAAATATCTCTTTAATGTTAATCCTTTAATCTGTTCATTGATTTTCATTGGAATATTGTCCTTTTTTTTGTCTTGTTTTTTCCCTAGTGATGTTTTATTGTGATTTAACTGTTCATTGCAGGTCACGATATTGACGATGTTAGAACACTACTAAGTTTACAAACTGAAGCAATGATCTATCAGAGAAAAGGTGCATGTTTGATCATTTTACATTTGCAGAATAGCAGTTGCAGTGTTAGTGTAAGAATACCATAGCATTATGTAGCCTCAGTACTTCCGTATCGCTTTAGTTCAAGTGCGTCTGTGCCCTCTCCCATCCCTGTTCTCTGTATCCTCTTACACAAGCTCTGCATACCTTTTAAAAAGCTGCAGAACCGAATCAGAGCTCAGGTGGCTATTTGCTTTTCTATCTGTCTGGGAGTTCTTGATATACGCAGAGAGATGAACGCACACTGTGCTTTCTACCTCTACAACCATATGGTGCTGGGAAAGTGAACATTTTAACTTGACTGAAATGCTTGCCATGGTCTGTGTGCTAGCGGCCTCAATCGCATCATCTGAACGCATGAACGGTAATGCAGTGCTGCTACTCCGCCATGTTGGCCTAGTTGCTTCAGGAGAGTCTTTTCAGATAAATGAAGTGGGGAAAAAATCCAATAGCGTGAATATACAGCAGAAAGCTCGACTGAACTGCGGTAAAGCTCCCTGGGAGAGGTTTTTAAAATGCACACTCCCCTCCCAGTCACAGTAGATGTACCAAAATTATGTTTTGAAGAGCTTTGTGGCTGCCAAACATTGACAGCATCATGACTTTAAGAATGATGTGCCACGTGGAAAACCCATTTTATAGCTCGTATAGCTGCATGTTATGATAAAACTCTTCTACCACCCCCAGCCCTCCTCTCCTGGTTTGTGACCCTTATGCAACCCCCCACCCCACCCCACAACTCTTCTCTCCTATCTGAGAAGTGTCAGTTTTCACCCAGGTCAAAATCAAGTCAAATTTAAAAAAAAGAGAGAGATTTATCACATTAAATGTTCTTTTTAAGTTCGGCTGCACTGTTCTAAGGTCACGTGTTTTAAAAAAAAAAAAAATTTATACATATGTTGCAAAATTGTATAGAATATTAATATCCTCATATTAAAATATTATATACTCAAATTTGTGAATTTTATACTTAAACATGTAAAATATTATATACTGTAGTCAATTTATATTCTTAAAACAGGACAAATTTACCTTAGCAAAATTGTGTATAAAATTAAGACTTATTTCCTAAGAATGTATCTTCAATTGAAAATCAGCCTGATTTTTGCAAAAAACTGCATCACAATTTTCTCTGTAATCTGATGCTTTTCAAATAAAATAAAATAAAATATAACATACATAAAATTTAATAAAACTATATAAAAGAAAATGTATAAAAGGAAATCATGAATGATGAATGTTGGATTGAAGTGTATTTTGTCTTGTTCCATTGTGTTTTAATGTTTCGTTTTCTTTTTAAGCTAAATTTAGAGGTTTGCGCTTAAAACAAGTGAAAAACAAATACAGTTAAATTCAAGATACATTCTCTATAACTGGTTTTAATATCAGGTTTTATTTATTAACTTTCTTTTGAACAACCTGAGGTGAAAACTAGGCATCTGACTGGTGTGTTTGTTGTAATCCTTTGATGTGAACTGTGTGTCTCACATTGGTCTTTCCTCCTCTTTGTCCTTTTTCTTCCTTTCTCTGTCTGTCTGTCTGTCTCTTGTACCCTCTCTTACATTTCTGTCTCCACCACTTTTGCTTCTCCCTCTTTGCGTCGTCTTGTCTCTCCTCTGTGGCTCAGACCTGAAAGATATACACAACAATAAGCATAGATACTTGCTTGCCTCAGAGAACCAACGGCCTGGCCATTTCTCCACAGCACCTATGGGCTGCCTGACAGCCTCTCCGTCCTCAGGCTCTCTGTGCAGCCAGGCAGGGTTGCAGTCCGTTTCAAGCATCCAGGAGCGCATCATGTCCACGCCAGGCGGAGAAGAGGCCATCGAGAGGCTGAAGGTACACAGACAAGCATTTTCGAAACAAAAGAAGGGTCAAGGGCTTAAGTTAATAACCATTTCCTGCCGTCAAAGAGGTTTCCCCTTAAATGAATCAAAACTAATTAGGTAACAATGTGTAATAGGATAATGTGGGTGCTTCAGGCACCTGGTGACCTTTTATATTCAAAATGCTCTACTCATAATGATTTGCATGTTCTCATACATATGTATATCTACTCTGGATCACCATGGTAACCTGAGAGGTAATTCAAGGACTTCATCTGTGTTGTTCTGCTTTCATTCTGACAGATTGTGTCTTAATGAATGATATCTGACATGCCAGCTGTCTGTAAACAGCTATGACATGTGGGTTGTGCCCCAAAAACAAAACTGGACAATCTTGCGCACCGAAAATGTCAGAAACTCTCAGTAGCGGTGTTCAGCCTTATATGTTCTTTGTATTGACCCTTGTTCACAAAGTAGTCTGGTGTAAAATGATTCGCACAGACATAAATTAATTTAGGTATAAGGGGGCGCATTTCCTTCAAAAATAAAACTTAAAAAAAGAGTGGGTGGATTTCTATCATTATAGGGTGGTTCTGAACACACACTGCCGACACGTTTATGTTCAATCACCATGTAAAAGTGAATTATGCATAATATGTCCCCTTTCAAATTTTATGAGATTGAGATTAAGATTACATGTAAAACAAAACTACATTATATATTATTATTACTACTTTATATTATATTATATTATTTGAGGGAGTGAAAAGATTGTCTTGTCATACTTTCCCACCCACAAGTGGTTTGAAACCATTCACTGAGACTCTGTGAATGTGCGAGATAGTAAGGGAGGGAAAGTATACGTGGCTACAGCTCCAGGCAATAGTTTCCATGGTTACGGCAAGTGGCTCGCACTAGTGACGTCAACCTCCGACGCAGTTCGTCAGGAAATCAGACAGAAATAGACCTGTTCTTTTGTATTAGCCAAAAATATTGATCTATAATAAAAAGTGAGAGCATCCTTGCCCTCAATCATTAACATAATCAGATAGAAGTCAGTTTGGAGCTCATCACTTCATGATGTCTGTGATTTGCCCTGCGTACAACCAATTTCTTACTTGAAAATATACAATTACCGGTCATAATTTAAAGTCCTTGTGCTCATCAAGGCTGCATTTATTTGATAAAAATACAGTGAAAACAGTAATGTTGTGAAATATTAGAATGACTTCTGAAAATGATTTCTGAGACAATGACTGCTGAAAATTTAGCTTTATCACAGGAATACATTTTAAAATGTTACAATTTAAAATCACTTTTTTTATTCTAATATATTATATATTTCACAATATTACTGTTTTACTTAATTTTTGATCAAGTAAATGCAGCCTTGGTGAGACTTCTTTCAAAAACAAAAAATCGTAATTATTCCAAACTTACGATCTGTAGTGTATATGCAGATCTAATATAATGATGATCCAGTTTTCCTAGTCCTCTGTAGTGATCTGGGTTTCTTAGAAGCATCAGATCACAGGTTTGAAGAAGCCACAGTGTTACTTTCTGAACAGATGGCAGGGGTGTTAACCCTTTAGGAAGGATCTAGGGGAGCTTCCTGTACCTCAGGCCAGATGGTTCTTGTCTTCCTTCCAGCCAAGGACAATAAGGGACAGACACAATAGAATAAAAATGTGTGTAGTTGGGCTTCCCGTATATAACTGTTCATTGCTCTTGACCCTTTGTACACAGGCTTATTGCCTAGATTTAGCCTTTTAGCCATAGGACCCTGAAATGTATGGCCCTCCCACATCTTATGTCTGATTTAACATACAGCAAGATGTGCTCACGGCGCTGAATAGCAGAATAAGCTTAAAGCTTCTTAGTATTATGCACAGGTTAGACAGGTCATAATGGCAAATGTGTGGAAATGGTGACCTGGTGCTAATTATAGATTATATATTAAATAATTATAGATGATTTAAATTATATACATAGAAAAAAAACCCGTAACACTTACAATAAGGTCTCATTTGTTAATATTAGTTGATGCAGTAACTAACATAAACTAACAATGATAAATATATTTGTGCAGCATTTATTAACCTTTGTTAATGTTAGTTAATAATAATGTTCATGTTAGTTCACAGTGCATTACCTAATGTTAATAGATACAACTTTAGATTTTAATAATGTTTTAGTATATGTTGAGATTAATATTAACTATGATTAATAAATAAAAGTATTATGCAATATTTAAGAATAATAAAAACAAATGTTTCTTGAACACCAAATCAGTTTAGTATTAGAATGATTTCTGAAGGATCATGTGACACTGAAGACTGGAGTAATCACTGCTGAAAATTCAGCTTTGACATCACAGAAATAAATAGATTTTTAAAATACATTAAAATAGAAAACTAATGATAGAAAATAAAGTGTGCTAATTTTTCGCAATATTACCATTTTACTGTATTTTTTATTATAAATGTAGCCTTGGTGATCATTAAAAGACCTTCTTTCAAAAACATTAAATGGATTCTAAACTTTTTAATGATATTTTCATGCCAGCAATATTTAGCCATTTCAGACCCTGTCTTATACCTCCCAGCATAAACTTCCAAATGATCCTTTAAAATATGTTGACCTTCTTTGTCTGCGGTCCTGTAGGAGTCTGAGAAGATCATAGCCGAGCTGAATGAGACCTGGGAGGAGAAGCTGAGGAAGACTGAGGCCATCCGTATGGAGAGGTCAGTGAGGGCTTGGGTGCCATCTGGCTCCCTTCCTATTGTCCCTGTGCCCATACCCTTTATGCTCGTGAGGAGTGTCTGCTATGTGCCCGCGTGCTCAGCTGGTGCGAGTCTGTACCAGACTCAAGTAGCTGTCAAATCGCTCACTGACCTTAACACTAACATGTGCATTCAAGTATTAAAGATACATGTTCCAGATGTCTTTGCTGCTAACTAAAAAGGTTATAAAAATGTGTTGATTTGTAATGTCTATGATGTTTTCCTTCCCTCCCATCAGAGAGGCGCTGCTGGCAGAGATGGGAGTGGCCATACGGGAGGATGGGGGAACCCTGGGTGTCTTCTCTCCTAAAAAGGTACAACACATGAACTCCTTATCATTAATCACCATTACTGTCTGCACCAGTCAGCTCCTTCTCATGTCCACATGTCTGGGCCTTTCTTTCTTCGTATTTCATCATCCATCATTCTCCCTCCATTCTTTTTTTCCCTTTTTTCTTTTGTTTTGCTTGCCTCTTGCAATGGAATCCTATTAGTTTGGTCCTGATAGACCAACGTCACTGTCTATTGAAGACTTTAGTGTTTATTCTTCTAATCAGGTTTGTAGAATTAAGTTTTTTTGTGTTAACTTTTTCCCCCCATTTTATATCTGTAAAATCCCTACTGTAGCCTACTGAGTTCCTGTAGCAAGCCATAATAGTGGATTACTGAATAGTTTATATTTTCCCACATCACACTTAATTTTAGTGACCGTAGGAAATAGAAATGGATGTAAATCCATCAGCATGCTGTAGTGTTTTCAAGAACGAATGACTCTCATGAGTCTAATCAAATCAGTTCTTTTCATAAATAGGACAAAAAGTTTAGTTTTCGGATTAAGTAGTCGAATACTTCAGAGCTTTTATTGATTTAAGGTTAGACCGGATGTTTTCACTTGCAAAAAGTACTTCCAGAAAGCACTGTTTACCACAATCTCATTGTCTTTTTAGTGTTCCTCCCTGAAACACATCAACACAGTTAGCCTGCCTCTAGAACAATGCCTCTGTCATTTTTTATTTGTCTACTTATTCATGTTTTCATTCAATTTCTCTCCTTTTCTCCCTCTATGACATCTCTCTGTCATTTTGGCTATCCAATAGCTTTTCGTTGAAAGGCCATGTGAACTCTATACTGACTTTAATGGGGTGTTTTCACCCCAAAAGGTTGGTTGTATAGCAGTAGATAATGTTGTGCAATAGTTTTTAGTTATTTAGTTCATAGAGGCTAATGTAGTATATTATCAGCCCTTGAAGAAGCCAAATTGTATGACTTTCTGATTCATTATAATTATTGACATGGCATTTAATCTCATTATTTCACTTTTTAATTGGCCTGTGAATGTAACTGTAGCTGTAGTGACATCAGGCACTCCTGTCTGTTTGACCTGTCTGCCATTCTCATTGACACCGTTTCCCCACAGACCCCTCACCTGGTGAACCTGAATGAGGATCCTTTGATGTCAGAATGTCTGCTCTATTATATCAAAGATGGAATAACAAGGTATGAAATCACTTCCATAACTGTCAGAAGTTTCTTAGCTGTCTGGATGTTGCACTGAGGCATCTTATGATTGCTATAGATCCAACCAGTCAAGGGTCCTACAAAGGACAAAATGTTTACTGCTTTTATGTTAGGATTTTCTCATGAGTTTTTGTACTTCTCCAGTTGTATCAACACACATGTACACACACACACAGTATATATAAATTAGTGCTGTCAACGTTAACGTGTTAATGCATGCGATACATTTTTTTTTCAGATCACTGCGTTAAAAATATTTAACGCAATTAACTCAGCATCCATTTTTTCCGTCATCCTTTGGCTAGCATTACATTATATGATCACGTTCTTATACATGCAAATGCTTTTAAACCATTCAAACGCGGCAAGACAAAAGAGAACGCGCTGTCTGTGAACTTCCTGTCTATGACACGCACACGACGCACAGAAAGACGCGCGCCAGTATCGTGCGCACAGACCACGCCAGAATCAAGTTCTCTTTCGCGCTTGAACGAACAATAACACCCACAACAAATTGTCAAAATGTCCATTTTGTTGAGTATCCTCATTAGAGCAGTCTTAAATGAGTTAAATAAAAGTTGTGAGAAAATAGGACGCGTGTGAGATTCGCGTCATGTGCAACAGCGGCAGATCTTTAAAGTGACAGAAGCCACTAATGCTGTCTGTCATTAATGTTAATCAAAGAATAAAGGTAACAAAGAAAATCTCTCACTGATTAATCTATATTTAATTTATGCAGTGGAGACTGTTTGATAACTTTATTCAATTTCAGGAGATTTCACAGGGCACAGGTAAATATTACATTTATTTTTGGTTTATGTGAGGATTGTTTTAAGTTCACTTAAATTAAAAGTTGTTATATTTTTTTAAGCCTAATAAATGATAATATTATCACTGTAATGTTGAATGGCTATAATTAATGTTTAAAATTGGGGGAAGAATCTATTTAATTGAGACATCAGTTGTGTCTTAGCTGTATTAGATATATCATTGTTCCAAACTTCTGTACATTGTTCCAAACTTCTGTACATTAAACATACTATGTTTTAATTGACTAGAAATGTGTCACATCGTGCAGCAGTTTCATGTTTACTGTGAGACTATTTGCTTGTCATTAAAAACTTGTTGCATCGCACCTTGTTACAATGCTGTAATGTAATGTTGGAGTATCCTTGTGGTAATTAAAATGAATGTCTTTGTTTTGACAGGGTGGGCCAGGCAGACGCAGAAAGACGTCAGGATATCGTTCTGAGCGGAGCGCACATCAAGGAGGAGCACTGTATCTTCCGCAGTGAGAGGAATGCCAACGGAAATGGTAAGTGTTCACTTACATCTTTAGATCCATTTATCTGTTTTCAATTCACATTGCCAACAGTAAAACACTTTTACATCGGACATGATCAGCTCAGTGCAAATTAACTTTTGTCAAAGATTATTTCCTCTCCTGTATATCTGAGTACTTTGTTTATTACGCTTTTACTCAATGAAAACCTGAAATTGCTGCTGGAGGTAGTGAATTGTCTTCTGTTTCTACAGTGATTGTCACTTTGGAGCCATGTGAGGGATCTGAAACATATGTGAACGGAAAACGTGTGAATTCTGCTGTCCAGCTGCGCTCAGGTGAGCCACTGACAGTTGTCTGCACAGTGCAGTTCTTAAGCTCTGGTTTAATCTGATTGTTTGTAGTCATATGAAAACTAATGTGATTTTTTTTTTTTTTTTTTTTTTTAATTATTTGTTAATGTGCGAGTTTATTAGCCACTGTAAGTAAATAACTAGAACAATAACAAAATGCAGTGAAAACGTTGAAACTAGTGTGTTTATGATTACGATTACGAATTTGCAACATCAAGCAGCAGAATGGACTGTTTTTATGCAGCTCAAATAACAAGAAGTGGCTAACACCGAAAGCCTTGCATATTCAAGTTGAAAAAGGTGGATAATACATGTATGCACAAAATTTGTTTATATGCCATTATATTGTTTCAATGTGTACATACTTGCTCATTCCTCAGGTAACCGCATTATCATGGGAAAGAACCACGTTTTCCGGTTTAACCACCCTGAGCAGGCCCGCGCTGAGCGTGAGAAGACCCCGACAGCGGAGACCCCTGTAGAGCCAGTGGACTGGACCTTTGCCCAAAGAGAACTGCTGGAGAAACAGGGTATCGACATGAAGCAAGAGATGGAGAAGAGGTACGTAAGCAATAATAATCATGGGATATTATTAAAGACAACTCCAAGTTTAATACAAGAATTATATTGGTTATATGAAATAATTTTGACTCAACCCTTCAGGCACTTACAATGAAAATACACAGACAGAAAGTTAGTAAGTAGAAGCAAATACTAAACATTCTCTCTAGCTTCTAGTTAACACATGGATGGAAACACATTTTGAATGTTTATTGCCTTGCCCTTGTACTTCCATTGTAAGTGCCTTACTGTAATATATATATATATATATATACACTCACCGGCCACTTTATTAGGTACCCCATGCTAGTAACGGGTTGGACCCCCTTTTGCCTTCAGAACTGCCTCAATTCTTCGTGGCATAGATTCAACAAGGTGCTGGAAGCATTCCTCAGGGAGTTTGGTCCATATTGACATGATGGCATCACACAGTTGCCGCAGATTTGTCGGCTGCACATCCATGATGCGAATCTCCCGTTCCACCACATCCCAAAGATGCTCTATTGGGTTGAGATCTGGTGACTGTGGAGGCCATTTTAGTACAGTGAACTCATTGTCATGTTCAAGAAACCAATTTGAAATGATTAGAGCTTTGTGACATGGTGGAAGTAGCCATCAGAGGATGGGTACATGGTGGCCATAAAGGGATGGACATGGTCAGAAACAATGCTCAGGTAGGCCGTGGCATTTAAACGATGCCCAATTGGCACTAAGGGGCCTAAAGTGTGCCAGGAAAACATCCCCCACACCATTACACCACCACCACCAGCCTGCACAGTGGTAACAAGGCATGATGGTTCCATGTTCTCATTCTGTTTACGCCAAATTCTGACTCTAACATCTGAATGTCTCAACAGAAATCGAGACTCATCAGACCAGGCAACATTTTTCCAGTCTTCAACTGTTCAATTTTGGTGAGCTCTTGCAAATTGTAGCCTCTTTTTCCTATTTGTAGTGGAGATGAGTGGTACCCGGTGGAGTCTTCTGCTGTTGTAGCCCATCCGCCTCAAGGTTGTGCGTGTTGTGGCTTCACAAATGCTTTGCTGCATACCTCGGTTGTAACGAGTGGTTATTTCAGTCACTGTTGCCCTTCTATCAGCTTGAACCAGTCTGGCCATTCTCCTCTGACCTCTGGCATCAACAAGGCATTTCCGCCCACGGAACTGCCGCTCACTGGATGTTTTTTCTTTTTCGGACCATTCTCTGTAAACCCTAGAGATGGTTGTGCGTGAAAATCCCAGTAGATTAGCAGTTTCTGAAATACTCAGACCAGCCCTTCTGGCACCAACAATCATGCCACGTTCAAAGTCACTCAAATCACCTTTCTTCCCCATACTGATGCTCGGTTTGAACTGCAGGAGATTGTCTTGACCATGTCTACATGCCTAAATGCACTGAGTTGCCGCCATGTGATTGGCTGCTTAGAAATTAAGTGTTAACGAGCAGTTGGACAGGTGTACCTAATAAAGTGGCCGGTGAGTGTATATAGTATATTAAATTAAAGATGAGTTGAAATAATTTGCTGTCGATTGAACTAGTATTCACGCTCGCAAAATTCCTTAGAGGGAAGTGTGGATTCCAGCTTATGCATAGTTTAGGGTTGGATCTAGCCAACCAAAGCCGGGGGCCACCCAGCAGCTACAGAAGACAAAATCTACATTTTGTGAAGTTTAAGCTCTTGGCATGGAATGTGAGCACATATGAATTGGATTATTGTAAGAAGGATTTTTAGGATTATGTTGCGGAAAGCAAATGCACTGAGCGTAAGAAAGAGCAGCTTTTTGATGCAGTGGTCTTGCACTGTATTATATCAGGCTTACAGAAATGGAGATCCTGTACAAAAAAGAGAAGGAGGAAGCGGACCAGCTACTTGAGCAACAGAGACTGGTAAGGCTGAATCTCTTTGATAATTCTTGTTTCTTCTGTTGTGTATCAGAGGACCCTTACTTTCATTCCAATTAGACCTTTATTTTCCTTCCAAATTTTGTCAGGAACTTTCTTTAGACTGTGGGGAGAGATGTGCTATTTGATGAACCGAGTAAAACGGGCCCCTACTTTTCTACTTGCTCTGCTGAAGTCCAAACAGCACTAATTCTGCACTCTTAGCTCTGACAACTTGAGACTTTTGTGTGTATGTGTGTGAGAGAGAAACACTTTTCCCAGTGCATGGCTGAACCTCTTTGCATGGTAACTGAATCCACTCTGTCTGGATTGAGATAGCAGATGGCCCATTGCTGATATGGACTGATTTACATATTCAGTTTGATACAGCAAGAATTTCTTATTCAAAAATTCAATTCTCTCTCTCGTAGATTTGAGATATAACTTTGAGGCGTCAACAGAAGAATACCAATTTGGCTTTTAATTAGTATTTAGTATTTTATTAGTTTAATTTTTATGAATTCCATTGTTATATAAGGCATTGGTTTGCCATGCACCAGTTAAAGACCCCATGACATCAATGAGAAAATAAATGATTTGTCTAAAGTCCTTGCCATCATAGAGTTGACATCAAACTATGCTTTTCAAGCCTTTTCATGGGGTATTTAAGTTAAATTGGTGTAAAACAAAAGTCCCTTTCTTTGGTTTATTCTAAATGCTGCTTTTGCATGTTTTTTTTGTAGCATGTTTAACAGATTAATTTACAGGGTACTTAGTACCTCATTTAGTATTTGTTTGCTGGGCAGTGTTTTAAGCTGTTCGGGCTTGAGTCAGCATTTGATTTATAGATTTAGTTTTGTCTGAGTTTGTTGGTTTTCTCAATGCAATTGCTGATGTTTCCAATGCATTGTTGCCATAACCCAAGATTTCTGCTGTAGTTGATGAAGGCTAGTGACAATGTGGTTTCTCATTACATCTGTAGCCTTGAGTTCTACACGTCTGTGTCTGGCCAGACACAGAGGGCATGCTATAACACAGCTATCCATGTTGGGGGTCTTAATGATGACAAGCTCTCCAATGCTCTGATGGTCTCATCCATATAATTTTATATATAGAATGACACAGATATCCCACACTGCACTGATTGCACAATCACGATTACATGGTCGCCAGCTGCCGCCTCTGTTATTTGACTGTGATTTTTGTATTGTTTTTGTTTTACTTGACCTGGAAAATGAGAAACTGCATTTTCTCTCAACTAACCTCTTAACTGTAGTGGATGAAATCTATGCTTTTAACCTCCTCCGAGCCTGTCCTTTCTCTTTTTCCTCCTCTGTACTGACCTGTAATAAACACGCAAGAGTCTAACCAACCGCTAGAGCTAGAAAAACTCTAAAACCAAATCTTCTCTATCAAGGACTTCATATGAGGGAATGAAACAAAACTCATCTGGCTTTGCTGCATGCCACTGAAGCATGTTTGGGGTGCAACTATCAAGAGCTCTAATTGAAGAGGATTACATAAATTTTAACTTGACAAAAAGAAAGAAACCAGCGCAACAACAAAAAAAGCAGATCACAACATCTATTCCTTTTTGTTGACATTTTTCTCATAATCATGACAGTCATGCCTTGCATTTGATTTTTATATAGTGATATGCAATTTGGGAATAACTGTGACTTGAATTTGTATCTACACTGTACATCTAAAAAATAACAGTTGCACACCATTCTTCTGTCAAATGCATCTGCAAGTACACAAAATGCCCTCTAAAATATTCATATCTGTAGTCAACTTGCAGTCTACAAAAAGGTGCTTTGTCTTGCAGTTTAATGATTGTGTTAGTTAGAAATCGTCAAGTAGGTTGATCATTTTTCTCAGCTTAATGAATTAAGTTGTAAATTTATCTGCACCAATTTAGCTGTTCTCATTTTGCATATCACAACACTGTCCATTCTTTACAGAAAACATTCATTTTATTTTCGATACCCCATTTTAATTTTCCCATTTTGTTTTTCGCACTCTTTGGTTTGTTTCCTGTTTTGTTCTCTTAAGGATGGAGACTCTGATAGTGGTGATGACTCTGATAAGAGATCATGCGAGGAGAGCTGGAGACTCATCACTTCTCTACGGGAGAAACTTCCTCCCAGCAAGCTCCAAACCATAGTCAAAAAGTGTGGCTTACCCAGCAGCGGTAAAAGACGAGAGCCTATCAAAATGTACCAGATCCCTCAGCGTCGTCGTCTTACAAAGGACTCCAAATGGGTGACCATCTCTGATCTAAAGATCCAGGCAGTCAAAGAAATTTGCTATGAGGTGGCACTTAATGATTTCCGTCACACCCGTCAAGAGATTGAGGCTCTAGCCATAGTAAAAATGAAGGAGCTTTGTGCCACCTACAACAAGAAAGACCCGAATGAACGAGATTCTTGGAGAGCAGTAGCTCGAGATGTTTGGGACACTGTAGGGGTTGGGGATGAACGAATTGAAGATGTCATAACCAATGGACGAGGCGTGACTGACATGGATGACCTAAAGGTTCACATTGACAAACTCGAAGACATCTTGCAAGAGGTAAAAAAGCAGAACAACATGAAGGATGAAGAGATTCAAGCTCTCCGGAATAAGATGTTGAAGATGGAGCAAGTGATCCCGCTGTTTTCCAATGAGTCACCGGAGAAAACCACTCGCAGTGGACCCATGAGGGCCCGCAGTTCCAGCGAGGGTAAAGCTCCAGAGGAGAGGCCCAACTGTGAACAGTCAGACGAGCAGGTGTCTAGGATGACGGATGATGAATCTTCATTTCGACGTGGACGTATGAGGTGGATGCGACAAGAGCAGGTACGCCTCAAGAACCTCCAGCAACAGGAGATTTCCAAGCAGCTCCGACGGCAAAATGGACCCCACCGCTTCATCCCACCCGAAGACCGCAAGCTGCGCTTCCCGTTCAAGAGTAACCCCAAGCATCGCAACTCCTGGACCCCTGGCACTCATATCATTATAACAGATGAACAAGTGATTGAGATGAAAGTACCCAAAGAAGTGGTCCAGGAAGAGGACGACTCTGAGGAGGTCGCAGAGCCCAGAGAACAAGTGGGACCAACCATCCAGACGTATCCTACTCTTCCTAGTCCCATGGGTCAACGTAGAAGCAAAGATCTAGAGCAGGGCCTGAGTCATAGACATAATCAAAGCCACAAACTCCATGAACGAGGCCGTAGTAACTCCTTCAACAGCAGCCAGCGAGCCTCGGACTCTATGGAGACCCTCAATTCTGGTAACAGGAAGCCGCCTCACCCCCAAATGGCCTTTTACCAGCCACGCTACAACCAAAACCAGCATAATTATCCACAACATCAGCATCCACAGTTCTGTCATTACAATACTGATGCCAGCAACAACTACCCGCAGTACCCACCCAATCAGCAGCCGAGCCACCACAACAATTTTTGCACCCCACCCCGTATGCGTAGGCAAATGTCTGCCCCCAATTTGAAGGGCAGTCGAGAAACCACAGTGTGACGTTGGAAGCAGGGCATAGGTTCATGTACAGAACTAGTTGACACTACAAATCACACATCACAGACTCATCAAAGCATTGGACAGCTTGTCCCTAAACTGTTTTATGGCACTTGATTTAAAGAATTAAATGTTATTGTCATTTGTGGATCCAAATTGCAATGATTTCCCTGGAGAAAACCACATGAATGCCTTGCATCAACAATTTGATCCCCCATCTATGTTAACTATGCATATAGGTTAAAAGTCTAGCAATAAGAGTGCTGGTTAAAAGTGTCCAAGTCACAAAAAGATCTCAGAACAATGTTCTTGAGCCTTGATTATTGCAAAAAAAAAAAAAAAAAAGGCTTGTTTTATTAAAGTATTGGAAACGATGAGTTTTAGGAGAGTCACCCTTTAGTTCTTGGCTGTAGTATTAACTTTTTTAAACTTTAGTATATTTTGGAGATTCCATCATGTTTTTGAGATGTACTTTAACACTGATTTGCCTCAGTTTACCTCTGTTTTGCTGCTGGTGACAGTCTGAATAGATCTTAGCATTGAACACACAACCACTACACTGCAACATTTCATACTGTCCAATGAGAACCTTGAACCATTACTTGAATTTTGAGTTTTTGAATTTACAATTCAGTCATATTTGTGCATTGAAGGTGCATAGGTAACATGTTCAGTAAATGCTGGAAGGTTAATAGCCAACTTTTTAATCCTCTTGAATGTTTAGAAACCTGTTGGAGATGATGTTTTTACTGTTGCATATTATGCAAGTTGTTTTATTTCATGAAGTTTCGGGTCCCTGGGTTGATATTCCCCATTAAATAGTTTAAATATGAAAGGTGGCAGCAAAGGCCTTTCTCTAGCTGCCTTATGCATGAGTAAAAGATTATGAAGGAGTGCTTTTAAAGTTTTTAAGTGCCTTATCTCACTGATGCATCATTAACATATTGCATTTATCTCTTTGTACTTGGCACCTGAAAGTAAGTACTGTAATAGCAATATATGAAGAAAACTGAATAATTTTTACTGAATTCCTATCACTCTTATTGTGGAATATATAGACGCTGCCTTGTACATTTGAGGAAAAAAAAGAAAAAACAACCTGCCACTCTGATTTTATAAAGTTTGGTTCTGCCTTATTTTGGGTATAAACCACTCTGCACTAAACATCCACAGAGGTAATGTTTTAATGTGCTTTGCATCTATTGTTCCTTTAACTGTCTACTGCACTCTGATCCTCAATAGGGGGAGGGGGAGGGGGAGGGGGGTAGTCTGTTCCCACGGGATAGAGTCAGTGTTCTAGAACACTCAGCCATTCTCCTCAATCTCAACATGATTAGAATCACATTTATTTTCGGGTGTCTGCTGTGTGGTAAGCGAGCCCACAGAAAGCACCAGAGCCATGCCATGGAAAGGACCTCTAACGGTTTCCATGGTTTCCGAGGCTCATTTTGAAACTAGTAGCATGTTTTTAGCGACGGGAAACCATTAAAAGCCAAATAAAATTAGCCGGACAGGTGTATAATGCACTGCTTTTTGTTCAATTTTCTCGCTTAATTTTACAGCTTATGTATGTAATGTCACTGAACACTTCTCACTTTTATTAAATTTACCACTGATTTTTTTCTTTCTAACTAAATAGTAATTACTTTCACGTAGGGTTAATGTAGTTGTACACCCTTGCACGTAAGCCACTGTGATTTCCCTGCTTAAGCCTTGATATAATTATGCACTGGTGTGCCTCAGCACCCAAGTGCATCCCATTACCAGCTGCGTATTACCAAAGCACATGTTCTGAAATCCTCTTCGTGTCATCTCCTCTGGCCAGAGCAAAGAGTTAGCCAACTAGCTCAGAAGTCCATGCTTCAGCATTGCTTCATAAGAATGAAGGACTTGAATGCTTTTGTTGCCAGAATTACTGCCTTATTTCTATTGAAACCCCTTGGTTTTGGTATAGTAAGTAATGCATATTGTATAAAACACAACTGGTTTCTCAAATCGTGCAACTGGTTAACTAAAGAAGCAAGACTCTAGTTTAAAGGTGAAATGTGTAATTTTTATTCTGAAAAGTGTGGTGCTCTCTGCTGTTTGAGTACCCAGACACTGTGACATTGGCACAACCAATGTTGTCAGATTGGGGTGGGGATATCTGTTTTGCTGGACAGATAGGGGGGAGTGTTTGAATTTTTTAAAAATCTGCATAGTGCAGCAGAAATGACACGCTTCGCCTTTCAGTGTAGCACAGCAATGAAAGTATAAGTCACTTCTCGAAAATCTTCTATTTGAATGACTATCAAGACATGCCAATTCCAACAAATGTTATGCTAACATTAATGTACGGTGCTGCCAGCTACTCTTAACTACCACAAGAGGAGCTAAGAAAAGGTATACATTCAAACGGACAATGTATTTGACCCTTTTTAAAGGTATGTCACTTGTCGGTTCAGTGTTTATCTATATACAATGGGTAGTGCATATAAACGGCCCTGTGTTGGGATGGGATGGGGGGGGGGGGGGGGGTGTTGTTTTTGTGCAACATGATCTTCAGTGCTCTAAGTAAGATGTGTTGATGGTTTACTAATATTGCTATTACCTTGAACTGTGCTGAATATCAAGATTTTAAACAGTGACTGAAATAAAGCGAACAAGTTTGAAATTCAGTGACTGTTGCTCTGACCTAATTGTTTTCATCTATACAAACATAGCATATGCTTTATATAGCAATCACATTTAGATGTGTATTTCTCATGATCATTTCATTATATTACAGCTCTTAGGAGATATGACAGCAGTCAGAGATATGACTGACATATTAGTCAGTCCTGGGTCTAAAGTAAAATATAAAATGAGTTTGACTTAATGTCCTGATCAATTATTTTATCCATCTGGTATAAGTAAATTTTAGGGCTGGGTATCGAGTTCGATACTTTTTAGGTACCCACCGAATTGCCTCGATACTATCAAGTATCGAAACAGGTCTTGCCTTTTAATACCAAATTTATATACCTAAGGGGTTAATCTCGTCAACGTCAGTGAGCCAATAAGCATGCAGCATGATTGGCTGTGGCAGAAAAACACTAGTTTATGCGGTTGCCCAAAGAGACGTGGCTCGCACGTGAGGCTGTAGTGTGTGTGTAAGCGTCCCAAGACTCCCAACCCACATATATGGAAGATTTGTGGAAAAGATCAAAAGTGTAGCTATGTTTCACCAGACTCAATGCCAGCAGCACGCGATGCAATATTTGCGACACGATGATTGCCGCCAAGACCGGTGTTGTGGCGAATTCTGACCCCCGCCAAATTATTACCCCCCTAGTATTATTGGCAGTGTTGGGGAAGTTACTTTTAAAAAGTAGTGTTTTCTCGTTACTCGTTACTTCTTAAAAAAGTAATCCGTTACTTTACTTAGTTACCCCCTTTGGAAAGTAACTTTTTATGTTACTCGTTACTTTTACGTTACTTTTATGTTGCTTGACTTTGGGCAGAACCCAATATCTGTTCCTAAATGTGTAGGCCTACATAAAATTCTACCATGAACTCTACTTATTGAAAAACTAGAAAAAAAAACTAAAAAAAGAGAGAGATTTTGAGATAGAAAAAAAATATATATTTATTTAAATAACATTTGAAAAACCTGTATAAACTGAACACCAAAGCACAATATTAACTATTGAGCGGTGGTGACGCGTTCATGAAAAATGTCACAAAGAACCGGCAAAAGAAATGATTATGAATATCAAATATAGCAAGGAGACATTTCAATTGTTTATTAATAAACAAGTGTTTTCTTTGTCAGTCAGTGTCGGCTGCAAAGATAAAGTTGACGATGCTGACTCGCGATCTTCACAGTAGTGAACGCGCCAGAGAGAAATGCACATTTCATATGGATTACATAAGCAGAGAGTCTGTTTTCTCTCGTTTTGAATAGTTTTGTTTTAAAGTACACATTTCAAGCTTTCTATATATTTCTCATATCTTTGAGGCAAGTAGCTTGCGCTAAGTTTCGGTTCATTTATGAGACGAGCTCAGTCCATGCGCCGGCACGGAGCTCCTGAGAAGTCCTGATTATATTGCCTGCTATATTTACTGCTTATTTATTAAAGACAATTGGTTGATGAAACATTGATTAAAATTAAGATACAATTAATACAAAACGAAATTCACTTTAAAGAAAGGCTTTCTACAAAAACAAACTTAATGAAGTGGTCAAAATCATGTCTGCCCACTCCATTTGTCTCCCGATTGCGCATCTTATGCTCTTACTCATGCTTTTCACTTTTCATATAATCAACATTGATGAAATTAAAAAATAAATTATTTTATTTAAACATAAATATGAAACTAAATCGTTTTCTTTAATGACTAGGCTACAACACGCAGGTCTATACAGAGAAATTTAATATCGGAGCGGGATTTGAGCGAACGCCGTCTTACTGTAAGCATGTGGGGGTAGAGGTACGATTTTCGAGCAATCATCGAATATTATTTTGCTTGATATGCCAATCCTTAATATTTGGTGTTTTAAATGCCTGTTTGAGGTCTCTGTGAAAGATTTAAAGCAGTCTTTTAGTGCCGCTTTCAGAGCGGTCTAGTCCGAAGAACTGTTACGTCCATATTGTTTCTTTCCTCATAAATGCGAACACGAAAAATTCAATACAATTAATATTTTATGTTCTGTGGAGAGCCAACCCTTCTTCATCCGGTGGGAGTATTACTTTTGGTTTGCGCAGTGTAATTCACAGAATTGATTGCTCTGCTACAGAATTGATTGCTCTGCTACCAGCCTCTGTCACGGAGCTTGTGACTATTGCAAGCGCGCAGCTGAGGAGACAGTGTTGCTGTCAAATCTGTCCATGGGAAAAGTAACGTTGTGCGGAATTGAAAAAGGAACTACGTTTCGTTACCAAATTCTCAGTAGTAACGCGTTACACTACTTTTTACCCGAAAAAGTAGTTACGTTACTGTAACGCGTTACTTTGTAACGCGTTACACACAACACTGATTATTGGTAGGTTTAGGATTAGTTGTGGGGGAGGTGTTAGGATTAGGCATTCAGATACTGACTTCAACGAGGGGGGTAATAATTTGCCAGGAAGTCAAAATTCGGCACAACTCGGCAACATGACAAATCTGATGAAGCACTTATTTAACAGCGCACAGAATAAATGTGAGAGCAGACAATTAAACAATTAAAATGTCTCCTTGCTATTTTTTCCCCGACACATTCATAATCATTAGGCTATTTTTGCCAGTGCTTTGCAGCAAGCTTTGTGTGTGCTGAGCGCGAGGCATATAGTTTGACTTAATCTCCTAATCAATTATTTTATCCACCTGGTGTAAATACATTTTCAGCTGTTTGACACTGCCTTTTCAGATAGAACATTCTCATTTGTTATAAAACTGTGGGATAACTAAATCCTGCTTAAATGTCAGGAAATGTTACATATAATCACATTTTAGTGAAACCGCATATAAAATACCTCCCTTTACGGTACAGAGTCGGTTCTACCTGACGCCTTTTTCATTACTAATTAAATATATTATAAATGTTATTTGTATTTTGGTAGTAAAACGTCTAGACATTAAAATTGCTTTCAGTTTTCGGTTACTATTGCATATATTAAGGCTTTTTCTACTTGAGCCACCTCACAATGGTGGCGACTTTTGCACAGGGAAGCATCACTTATATTTTCAGAACATGCTATATCCATTTAAATATAAATGGATGGGTCTTCATTGTCTATTTCTGTGTGCAAAATTAGTGCTGTTTAGTTTAACTTCAGCTTAAGCCATTAAAATGTAATTTAAGATGTTTTTTAACTATTCCACTGTCATGAACAAGCCGAATGGCACACAGTTGTTAAATCAACTGCATAACCGTGTAACTTTTATCTCTCCAAGGTTCAGTAAGTGTCTGTAGTGCTGATAAGATCGTGTCTGCTGTCCTCTCTCTCTTCATCGCATTTTCTCAAAGGTATATGAGAGTAAATTGCAAGAGCTGCAGAAACAGGTGGAGACCCGCTCATTGGCTGCGGAGACACCTGATGAGGAGGAAGAAGAGGAGGAAGAGGATGAAGGTAGTGTATTTTGAGAAATCAGAATTTTGACACTTTTAATATTAGTGTTCAGCTACATTTATGGCATAAAATGCACCCCATTGTCAAAAGATGTTAATCTGCAGTGTACTAGGACACTGTGTAAGTAGGATAAGTTCCTAGATCAACACCATTTGGATCACATTTCTGTCAGAGTCCTAACTCTATCTACAACCTCAACCCAACCAAAACTACCACTACAATCAGAGGAAAATACATGATGGGTTGATAAGCCCCTACACCCTTCCCAATCCCTATTGTCTGATGGATTGAATGTTGTTCCAGGAACAATAAGGATATCCTGCTTGGCAAAATCACAACCACCTGTATGTATGCTGTGGCATGTTTGACTATTGTTCCTGTATTGCAGTGCCCTGGACCCAGCATGAGTACGAGCTGGCCCAGTGGGCTTTCAGGAAGTGGAGATACCACCAGTTCACCTCCCTCAGAGACCAGCTGTGGGGCAATGCTGTATACCTCAAAGAAGCCAATGCCATCAGTGTGGAGCTCAAGAAAAAGGTACAGCACATAGATGACAGGTGTCATGTGAAAACGTGTCAATCATTAAAACATTTAACTATTTTTAACTTGACATGGCGTGAAACAATGAAAAATCTGCATGACTCGGCGTAGCAGCTAAAAGGTCTGTCTATTGCAGTGTTTCTCAGCCAGGAGGTCTCACCACACTTCTGCAAGTTAAGATTTTTAGCTAAACGGTTAAATTAAGCTGAAATCATATATTTGTTAATTTATTTTGTTCAATAATAATAACTGCCATTTTTTTGGGTTTGAGTAAAAAGGTTGAGAAACACTGGGTTGTTGCATGTATATATAACTGCTTCCTGTGTGAATGCCCCCTAAAACAGACCAGACTAGCGTTCCTGACACACAACATGACATAAAACTGTTCATAAAAATTAGCTTGTCATTGTGATTGCAGCTTACCAGTCCATTCTGCTATATTTACATATTTGCAGACATATCTCTGTTGCTTTACTTATTACCCATGTGCCAGCGTTCAACAGTTGGCTTATTAATGCTAAAAAGAGCACACACTTACAGTTTCATCTGTTCTTTTTCTGTCACCTGCTCTACTTTTGTTTGTTTTTGTCTTTTTTTTTTCAGTTCCTATATGTATAACCTCATAAAGACCCCTGCTGTGTAGAAACATTTCTCTTCTGGTTTATCATGCGCTCTTTGTATTTATAGCTTCAGTGGGGACAGGGGTGATTTGATTTGTTTTACATTAGCAATTGTAAATCTTATGCTATTTTTTGCTTTGTTTCATTACGGTACTTCACTCTCCACTTAGCAGATGTCAAAAATGAGGTCTGAACCTTCAATCTTACCGTCGTCAACTCACATCTTTCATCCTTGTTGATGACCTTTCTTCCATCTATTTGTAGGTCCAGTTCCAGTTTGTCTTGCTCACGGACACCCTCTACTCTCCGCTTCCCCCGGAGCTGCTGCCTCCAGAACCGGAGAAAGAGCACGACACTAGGCCTTTCCCTCGGACTGTGGTGGCTGTGGAGGTTCAGGACTTGAAGAATGGAGCCACTCACTACTGGTCCCTGGAGAAGCTCAAGTAAGCTTCAGGCTGCCAACCAGCCTGTGAATACAAAGTTTTGTTAACAGAAGTCTTTTAGTTCTTGTGCAATTATTATGTGGAACCAACCTATTTAGAAATCCTAAAGCTCTGGGTTTTTTTTAGAACTTTACTTGTTTTTTTATGATATTTAGACAAATTTTTTCTCAGCATGACATTTATAACAGAACATTTGCATGGCTCCTCAGTCCTCACAAAACCCTTGTTCGAGTAGAAATTAATATACTAGAAACAAAGTGCTCATTCCCCACAATATCTCCCCACAAATGTCAAAGTGCTCAAAAAATCATTCAAAGAACTCTGTTTGCTTCTCATGTGGCCAGTCACATGACCATATTGCATCATAACATCCAACGTTGTATGCATAATGGCCTTTTTTAATAGTTCAACCAATGTATTTTTATGTAGTTCATTTTTTAAGTTTAATTCTCTGAAACAAGTCTCTATTGTGCCAAATTCTCATTACTGTGCCAAGCGTCAAATAAGAGGATCCCAAATGACTTTTGAGCCAATTCCCTCATGTCAAGATGACGATTCTGTTTGAGAAAAATATCACCTAAATTTTCTTTTAGGTAGTCGGACAAAAACAAATTTTCTTTGTAGATGACACTAGCACCTCTACATGCTGGCATTACGTAATGTTCTCATGTAAACCAATTACCAGTCAAAAAGGCTTTAATGTAGAAAAGTAATATAGTTGATTTAAAAATTTTAAAAAGTGAACACGATTCGCTAGCATGAGGTGTTGATTTGTCATGATCTTCCAGGCAGAGGCTGGACCAGATGCGAGAGATGTATGACCGTGCGGGCGAGATGGCCTCATCCAATCAGGGAGAGGATGGGGAGGGTGCTTTGACCGGCAGTGACCCGTTCTATGACCGCTTCCATTGGTTCAAGCTGGTTGGGAGGTATGCTAATCACTTAACCTTGTTCCTGTGACTTGAGATATGATTGAGCATGTTAACAGAGATCAATTCTTTGTAGGGGTGTAACGGATCTTAGTTGATCCGTGATCCTTACGGACCTGGCCCTACGGTTCGGCACGCATGTGATTCGCGGATTAGTTGCAAAATTCGTCACAGAGTAAAAGCTTATCATTTGCACGTTTTTAAGCAATTCCAATTTAAACATTCAAGTGATTTTAAACCATTCAAGAGCAAGAAAAGGTGAAGAACTTATTTCAAATTAGTTGAGCTCACACACTCAAATTGTATTTTGAGCTCACACACTCACCTCACACCGCGAGGTAGCGGAAGAGGGCCCCCCCCCCCCTCGGTCCGTGGTTTGGTTGCACCACCCTATGGACAGCCCTGATTCAGACAGCGCGCAAACACAGATTTCAGCCCTCTTTCGCGCCTCCTTGCGCTTATATGGACATTATACACACAAAAAATGATCTCAAAATACTTGTCTCGGCAAGTATACTCATCAACATGGTAATTTATGTCTTAAATGAACGTAAACAGTTGAGAAGAAACCAGATCTTTATCAGTATATTGGATACGTGTTAAAGTGACAGCAGCCTATAAATACCTGCTGCTGTCTGTGTCATTATTGTTAATCAAACAACAAAACACAGCTTTAACAAAGAGCACAGAACATTCTTAGGGATACACACCACCCAGCCCATTCCATGTTCAGGCCTAAACACGATTTTTGACCGTGGATGATTAAAATGTCTCCACGATCTGCTTTTGAAGAAGTATTGTAGTATCGGGTTACAGTGCATTCTAACAGTTGCAGTTCTTGACGCCTCTGTCTCAACATACTATACTACGCCACGTACATACACATCACACGTTAATGCAGATGTGGGACACTGCGATTTACAAAAGCTCATTATTTGCATGTGCTTTAAAGCGTTGCCGGTTAAACATTTCATTCGCATGCTGATGCACTGTTCTAACGTGTGCTTTTCTGAGCACATAGCATACACCCGAAGCGCAGGAACTGACAGCCTGTCAAACAGTGCCTGGTTACTGGACTAAATTATCTTTATGTCTAAAGTAAAAGCAAACATTTGAGAGAAAATCTGGTGCGTGTGTTTATATTAGATGCGTCACGTGCCGGTCTTAAAGCGACAGTAGCCTAATAGTAAACATACTGCCGCATGTCCTTGAAGGGATAGTTCACCAAAAAATTCTAATCCTGTCATTTATTTACTCACTCTAATGTTGTTCCAAACCTGTATTAATTTCTCTCTTGTGCTGAACACAAAAGAAGATATTTTGAAGAATGTGGGTAACTCATTTGTTGCTGGTCCCCATTGACTTCCATAGGAGAAAAAAAACTATACATTGGGCACCAGTAACTGTTTGGTTACCCACATTCTTCATAGTAACTTTTATTTTCAACAGTAGATAGAAACTTATTCAGATTTAAAACAACTTGAGAGAGTAAATTATGACCATTTTCATTTTTGGGGGAACTATTCCTTTAATGTTAATAAAACAACAAAACACAAAGAGAAAATCACTCACTGACTGAGAAGTTTTAATAGTAGCTTTAATAAGAATCAATGTATCATTTATAAAACTGTGAAGTCTATGTAGTGTTTTAATTTCATATTTGTTGATTTAATTACTTCAATGCTACTGCTAAATACACCTACTGTATCTGAAAAAATAAAGCACTATTTATTTCATTTGTATATTAAGTTGTGTAATGTGTATCTTTGTTCTTAATATTTTAATAACAAAGAAAATAATGACAAAGATTTTTATCGCCACTTTGGCCTAACTGTCTGCTATTCTTTTTTATTTTATATTTGGTTACCTAAAAATAGGGACATTGGTTTGGCTGTAATGCTCAGTCACTTGCAAAATAGTACAACCAACTTGAAAAAGAATCGTGATTAAAAAATCGTGATATGATATTTTTGCCATATCGCCCACCCCTACCGGACAGTATTGTTTCACATAGGGTACGGTTCTCTAACAGTTTTTTTTTTTTCAGTCTGACTGATGGTTGAGGACATGGCAGAGGGAACAAATATGTCTGTCTCATTTTTATAAGATAACAAGTGTTATCTATTTTTATATAGGGATGTTTGAAAGGGTAGTTTATGCCTGTGACGTGTTTATGTGTCTGTCTCTGTTAAACAGAGAAGGTTTTATTACAGTATTTTTTTTTTACATTTATATTATGTATTATCTCAGGACAGTGCAATACTCCTATATGGAGGTCATTATCTTTGTGTTTGTTTGTTGTAGGCTTATACTGTTCTTCGTTTACTGTACCTTCTCAATGTTTATTTATTGTGTGTAGTTTTGTTAGTTCTTCTTTTATGTTGACTTTAATGTTGACTCAATGAGCTTTGCTACAAAAATTCCTATGTACTTGTACTAGCTGTACTGGTACAAATGGCAAATAAAACTTCAACTCAACTCAAAGATTAATCTATATTTGATTTATAGCAAGGTTACAATTTTCACACACACAACCCTCCTTTTTTTTTTTCCTGCTGATCTGAAAAATGATCCGATCCGTGATTCAAAAACCATATGATCCGAAACCTGAGTTTTGTGATCCGTTGCACCCCTAATTCTTTGTATAATATTATGTCCTGCAAATGTGCCTACTGAAGGGTTTTTTTAAATGCTGTGAAATTTAGTTAAATTCTTTACCAACCATTTACATTTTGTCTTAGTTAAAACGTGTGTGTGTGTGTGTGTGAGAGGGAATGTGTTTGTTTGTAAAGAGCTGTTCTCTTGAAAGAGGGAGCCCATAAATCATTTGTCATCTTTGTTTAGTCATTTACACTGTTAATTTTCTCTTCCTATTTAAATCATCCTTTTTATTCAAATAATTTTTTGTTTGATTTGCATTATTTTCCTAATCATCATGTGCTTGTTTTGCTGTGTGCTGGTGTAGTGTTTTATTTTCTAAATGTACTGTTTTCATCTATTTATTATTATTGTTAAACATTAACAACACCTTCATTTCAAATGTAGATTGTTTTTTGTTGCTTTGTGCACCATTATATACATTGTAGAATTTGTATCAAATTCATTTGTGATTTTGTTTCATTTTTCCATGTTTTATTTCCATAATTAAGATTAGAACAGTTTCTATGATCTCTTTTTAAGATTTAAATGCTTATTCATGCAATTAATTATTCATGTACCTGCAATGTCTATTGTTTTCTATTTCATGTCTAAAGTCATGGCCCTTAAATGTAGGTCATAAACTGTTGTTGTGCCTGCATCCTACCCACGCACCTTTTTTTAGCTCACCTATTTTCCACGGCTGTGTGAACGAGCATCTGGCCGACCGCACGCCCTCTCCCACCTTCTCCACTAGTGATTCTGAGATTACCGAGCTGGCTGATGAGCGGCAGAGCGAGATGGAGGACTTCATGGATGATGAGGCTTTCGTGGATGACACCAGCTCAGATGCTGGGACCGAGGAGGGCTCTGACATCTTCAGTGATGGGCAGGACCCCTTCTATGACCGTTCCCCATGGTTCATCCTGGTGGGCAGGTTGGTGGTGGCCACTGCTCGGGGGAAGCCTGACAAATGAGGGCTGGAGAGAAAGAATGAGTGACAGAGACGGAGAGAGTTGTGTGGCTCAGTGTGCAGCTGTTAATTGGGGTCCATGATCTAAAGATAATTTATATACATTGAAAATGAAATAAACTGAATTATCTAGTCGTGCGAGAGAAACGGCTCACACGGCTATGCCAGATACCTCCTCCAGTTCTCCACAGCCTAGATTTAACCTCCATCTGTCTGGTTTGGTTTAACATTAGTGCTCTAAACATTAGCACACATTTGTTTGTTTTCATCCATTGTATTTATTTTAATCGGGCTGTCAATCGATTTAAATGTGTTAAAGTATTCAGTTTCTTTTTTAAGGCAAGAAAACTGCTTGTATTAGCAGTGCATTTTGAAGCAGTTTGATCAAAGAAACGCAAATGTACGATAATTCAATAATACAGCCACTTTCCCAGCACTTTAATAATCTTACATATGCACAGTTTCTTCCTGCTGCATTTGTATTTTCCTGGAGTTCACATTAACATTTTTATGAATGACGTGTTTTACTTGTGGTTAATATTGCTCTTAAATTTTACCCTACAAGAATGCAAATGAACATTGTTAAACATCCCGTCTGGGTTTATTAATTAATTATCCGTCAAAAATGTCTTTCTCCATTGACTGTGAGACACTTGAACACTGAATGTTCAGATCAGTTTTTAGAAGTCACACAAAAACTGAAAAATGTCATCATGTCAAATTAAATAAATGTCCTAATGGCTTTAAAAATAATTGTACATTTAAAACACATTTTTTATTAATCACACCCTTTAACACATTAACCTTTTGATTTACAGCCCTAATTTCTTCATTTTTGTAACTTATTTATTACGTATATATATATATATATATATATATATATATATATATATATATATATATATATATATATATATATATATATATATAAATAAATTGTTGAATTGTTTTCATTTCTTTTTGATTTCATTTTTATCTGTATTCTTTTTTCCTTTAATTTTCAAATTCATTCAGTGCACTGATAAACTGTTATTTATCAGTCAGTTGTACGAGAGAAGGATAGAGGAGGATGGCAACATAGTCTGGATGGATGCAGAGGCGCAGATGGACCTGCGTCATCGTGACTTCACTGATGCGCTACAGTGATAGCTCTCCTCCATCTTGGCCTTGAGGCTGCCCACGGGGGGAGGAGGAGCTCTCTGACTGCAAACAGCTCCTGAAATTCAGACTATGTGTGCCCCCTAGCCTCTGAAAATATAAAATATTCTGAAACATTCTCTCTTGCAATAAGCCAATGCCATATTTTTTTGTTTTATGTGACCGTACAACATAATGTATGAATTGTTTGTTTGCCCTTTTTTTTCTTTGGCATTTAATTTCAAGGTTGGAGGGTTTGTTTTCTGTCTTTGTTATTTAGGGTCATATTCAGTGTCAGCTCTTAGTAAAAGTGTCTGACACATCATATCCATTATTCTCCAATGGTGTTAATCAGGGTAATGGAGATGAACCTGTGGCCCTGCAGTGAAAGGAAGTCACTGTGCATAACACTGCTAAGCTGTGCATCTCCTGTACCCTCCATACTAATACATTTGTTTTTTTTAAGGATGTTCTGAACGTGTGTGTGCATAAGACAGTCAGGCAACGACAGCTCTCAGGGCGGTACTATAATTGCTGTTCTTTTTCCTCCAGAGCCTTTGTGTACCTGAGTAACCTGCTGTACCCTGTTCCTCTGGTGCATCGTGTTGCTATAGTAACAGAGAAGGGAGATGTGCGAGGATTCCTGCGAGTGGGGGTCCAAGCCATCGCTGGTGAGCACTCTATATTAATAAATTAAGATTCTGCTCACATTTAACTAAGCATAGTTGATATCAATCTGATGTGCTTTATAAACATTAATTTACTTGATTACGGTAAGTTTTTCAACAGATCTGTGACACGTGTGTCCTTATTCTTTGGTATTTGTGTTTTTGTAGCAGACGAAGAGGCTCCTGATTATGGATCCGGTGTGCGTCAGTCGGGGACTGCTAAAATTTCCTTTGACAACGAGTATTTTAAAAAGGTACAAGCCAGTCCAGCAGTTGTGTTTTCCTGTTATTTTAACATGAGTGGATGTATACAAGAAAATATCAATAATTTGTCTAAATATCTCCCCACAAATGTCAAATACCCATACAGAGGAGGATTTAGACCCAATATGGTGGCTGCAGGAAAGGAAGTCCCACCTTCCTAAAAGTGTCAGTCACTATATTGACAAATCAATCATCTGGTCTGTTTATTCTAGAATGTAACACTAACCCTAACCCAAGATGCTAAAAATGTGTTTTTATTTAGTCTTTATTGAACTGAATAAGCAACATTTTATAGGATTTTATTGCTTATTTTGTGTATATTTTGCCAAGTAAGCTGAACAAACGGTTTTAAATATTACAGGCTCAGCCTATTCAAGTAGATGGGAGCTGAATCTTCATGCCTAGAAGATTACCAAGTTACCAAAATGGCAACTGTGTGATCCTAAGTTTTTTCATGGGATACATACTGTATAAAATTCACAGTTCATGTGTGTATATTATATTATATTTAGTGCTGTTAAAATTAATCGCATTCTGTAACACGTTAAGGTTGACAGCACTAATTATATTATATTATGTAAGGAACAATTAACTCAAGGCCATTGAATTATTAGAAAATAAAGCACACCTGAGGTGGTAATGCTGCCACGACGCCAAGCAGAGTTACACCTCGGTTGTGCATTATTTTCTAATAATTCAATGGACCGGAGTCAATTATTCTGCTTATACTACGGTTAGCACACCTCAAGACATTGTTCAGATGTTGTATTTCAAGGCAATTGTCAGGTTGTTGTCCTTAATACGCTCTTGTGTGTAGAACTAATCTCTTACACATCTCACCCCAAGCCTCCATTGCTAATTCCAAAACATAATTTTAGAGCTTGTTACGGTGGCTTGAGCCATTGATAGCAGACTAATCCAGTGATTAAAAGGGGGGTATAATGCCCTTTTCACAAGATGTAAAATAAATATCTGATGTCCCCAGAGTGTGTATGCGAAGGTTTAGCTCAAATTACCCCACAGATGTTTTTACATAGCATGTTAAAGTTGTCACTTTTTGAGGGTGAGCAAAAACGCACAATTTTTGTGCCTGTCCCTTTAAATGCAAATGAGCTGCATCTCCCGGCACAAAGGACGAAGAAAAAGCAATTGCAATTGCAATTTCAAGGCAAAAGCAATTGCCTTAAAAAGCAATTTCTTTAAAAGAAAATATCTCCCTTTGCTTTGAGCTTTGAGCGTTGTAACTTTGCAGATGTTGTTTGTTTAAACAGCAACATTACACACTAACTAAAGTTAGAAAAGTGAAATCCTAATCGACCACCGCTTTAATGCAGTTATTAGAGAGAGAGAGAGATTAAGCGTGTGTGAATTACCTCAGTCTGTGCGTCTCTCAACGGTGTTCGGCAGCACAGTCTCTAATAGCGAAACTGTAAGTTTATCTGCTTCAAGAACAGCGCCGTTATTACATCGCTAGCGAGAAATGTCATGTAGCTTTTAAGTTGCTAAACTATTTTAATGATAAAATCGTCAAAGCAGCAACACTTTCTGTGCGAGTGTGTGTCCATACTGAATTTGTGCATTTGAGTGGGAGAAATAGAGTATGTGCTTTCCACATATAATAAAACGTAATTTTGTGGCAAAAAACATGGAAATAATTTGTCATTTTTATCTTACTGTTTACTATATTTATTTTCTTGGTCAGTGTCGTTGTGGGTTTTGGTTCTTTTGCTGTTGTAGGCTGTAAGGAGGACCTTTGTATTGACTAAATCATTTGGCGAAGTGATATGGATATTTTGAGGCCTGTTTTTCACAAATTGCATATTTAAAATATTTAAAACTTTATAACCTATAATCACTAGCTTTCTCCACCAGTAAGCCGGTGTGTGGTGGGCGTTCTGGCGCAATATGGCTGCCGTCGCATCATCCAAGTGGATGCTGCACATTGGTGGTGGTTGAGGAGATTCCCCCCTTCTATGTAAAAGCGCTTTGAGTGCCTAGAAAAGCGCTATATAAATGTAATGAATGAATGAATGACAAAAAAAGACTACCGGTATTCATGTCTAGATTGATACTAAGAGATGGAATTTCAAACTGATACCCAGTTGAAGTTTAAAAATTGATCTTGTCACAAGAATGTCATTTGCACTAGTTTGTACATAGTTTGAGTTGTTTATGCTTATACTGAAAGACATTTTGATGATCGCTGCCTTTTCTTTCTTTCTCTCTTTTACTCCACCATCCAGAGTGATTTCTCCCCTGTGGTGATGACCCGCTCTGGCCTCTCTTTGGAAGAGCTGCGTATTGTGGAAGGTCAAGGTCAAAGTTCAGAGTTTATCACCCCTTCAGAGGAGATGAACAGAATAAATGACATGGGTGAGTGTGGATGCACAGGCCAGCTGGCAACCCCTGAGCTCTAAACAAAACCGTTCAGTCTGAGTGAAAGGAAATGCTTACACATCCAGACGATGCTGTTGTTTTCTGGTATGTCACATTTGATTTACACTGCATCAGTGTTCAGAAAGCTTTAGCAGGTTTTAACAGGTCAATATAAGTGATACAAAGACCATGGAAACAGATTTACAGATGTTGTTTATTAAAAGGATAGTTCACCCAAAAATGAAAATTAGCCCATGATCTACTCACCCTGAAGCCATCCTAGGTGTATATGACATTCTTCTTTCAGATGAATACAATCGGAGTTATATTAAAAAATATCCTGTCTCCAAGCTTTATAATGAGAATGAATGGCTGGAGAAAATTTGAAGACCGAAAAAGTGCATCCATCCATTATAAAACTAATCCATTTGGCGCCAGGGGGTTAATAAAGGCCTTCTGAAGTGAAGCCATGGGTTTGTGTAAGGAAAATACTCGTATTTAAAACTTTATAAACTATTATCACTAGCTTCCGACAGACGGCCGTACGCATCGATTTACGGTGGAAGACTAACCCCTGACCCGACGCACAGCGTAATGATGAACGCGGAAGCTCAGAGGAAAGAGCAAAACAAAACACAGTTTTGCCATAATTTTCATTTTTGGGGTAAACTAACCCTTTAAAACATCAAATAACTATCAACCTGCATTTTTTGCAGTTTATATTTATTTTTATAGAATTAGATGATTCTTCACTGTAGAAATAGTAGTAGTAAAAAAAACATAGTTGTTGACCAAGAAAAACTAAATCTACAATTTAATTCAACATCTAAGATTTTTAGATATATTTCTTAAATAGAACGGTAGATGGTTCTACACAGTAAAATATAATTACAGGGAATGCCCAAGGAAATCAGCCAACATCTACAATTTTACATTAACTGTGTATAGATCCATTTACATAAAACAGTCTAATATTATGTATATTTACACATGTGTTTTGTGTCTAAAAGACCTGAAGCTTGGGAACGTGGACACAAAACTGGGTGATGGTTTGGCAGAGCATCTGGAAGTGGGTAGTATTTTCACTTTCCGCGTCACCGTTCTGCAGGCGAGCAGCATCCCGCCCGAGTATGCAGACATCTTCTGCCAGTTCAAGTGAGTCAGCCTGTCTCCATAGCAACCCTTCTTTCCCGTCTCATTGGTCTTTTTCAGACAGAGCACACACACACACACACCTTCACATAAATCACGCAAACGCACAGTCACGCTTCTCTCAGTAATCCTGTCTCATGCTGCCAACAGCTTCCTCCATCGTCACGATGAGGCTTTCAGCACAGAGCCACTGAAGAACACAGGCAAAGGTGCCCCGCTGGGCTTTTACCACGTACAGAATGTAAGTGTTGAATGCAGTGAGAGAGAAGAGGTTTTAAGGAGGAAAATGAAAATTGTGATGGTATAAACACCCCAGAGTTGTTAATAGAGAGTACTCTCTCAAATATTTCATCAGGCTAGATGCTTATAATGAATTATGCTTCATTATTTAAGCATACTATCTATTTGCCTACTGTCTTTAGGCAAATATGAATGTGTTGCCAACTTATTTATGTGGTTTTCACATCCAGATCTCAGTGGAGGTGACAGAGTCCTTTATTGAGTACATAAAGACCAAGCCAGTTGTGTTTGAAGTGTTTGGCCATTACCAACAGCACCCACTGCACATTCATGGACAGGAACTTGTCAGGTAACAACCTGTTGTCCAGTTTTACATATTTGATAAATATTATCTTATTTTTATGTTTTGAGTGCATTTCAGGGACGTAAACACATTGATGGTGACTTCACATTTGTCTGATTTTTAAAGGAATGACATTTTAGAATTGTCAAATATCAAATTTATTTTATCTTCTATAGTTTTTACATTGCTGTAAGATTTGAGTTTGTCATATTAGTGTTATTTTAACATTATTTATATAAAATTATTGTATTTATTAATATGTTGAATTCGCTTTTATTTTTATATCTTAATTTTAATTTTAGTTTACATTTTAGTAGTTGTTTACGTTTTTTTTATTAGTATTTTTTTATTCATAATATTTTGTATTGTAACGCATTTATTTTTAATTTAACAAATTTTGCCTCAAGTCGATATTATTTCCCTTTGTCATTGACAGCATGCTGTTGACGGAGTTTGATTTGTGTTTAACCTAGAATATTCCTTTACTTATTTTATCAGCATATTTATTGTAATTATTGATTTACAAATATTTAATATTTGTTTATACAGCATATAGTAGCAGAAAATAAATGTTCCTACAATCCTAACTGTGTGGTTATGCCCTTGGTGCATTGATTAAAGCATACAGATTTATTATAGTTTTTCTTTTGCATGTCTGATTTAATTTTCTACTTCTCTTGTAGCCCTTCTCAGCCTTCCAGAAAGTACTACCCTCCACCTATGCCTCTATCTAAACCAGGTATGACTGCAACTGCTATATAACTCAAAAATTACATCTTCATTTGTCATCATGAAGAACATTACATTATTCATTAAGTCAGCTTGAAGGGTCTTAAATTTGCATAAGTAACAATTCCTTAAATAATCCTCGCCCAGAGCGTGTATGCTCCTCTATCTCCCCTCTAATTATTAGTGTAATTCATTACAAGATTCATTAAACTAGGAGCTACCTCAGTTTACAATGATGCTGTAATCTCTGGCTCTTTCGTTTGATACGGTTATCTCCTCTCAAAAGGGCTCTGTCTGGATCCCATTTATGCAGCAAGTCAGTTTGAAAGACGAAGCTGTCAGCCGTTCCTGTCCAGACTGTTTTTTTATTTTATTTTATTATTTTTATTATAAAGAACAAATCTCCCTTTGCGACCGAAAATAAAACAAAGGCTGCAGCCTTGAAGTGTCATCCATCCTGACGGCGTATTGATCTTCACCCCGAGCTGTCAGTCTTTTATATCGCGATATGAATCTAGAGGTACTACAGCTCAGCTGGAGATAATTGGAAAAGCTATGGTGCTCTTTGTGATTTATAGATTGTAGATGTCGTGTGTTCAAAAACCTAAATGTAACCTTAATGTAAACCGATATGTAAAAAATAGTACTACATATACAAAAAAATAGTAATACATATACAATCTCGTTCAAAGAACTGTTAAGATTGTTTCAAATCTCCAGGTGCCATTCAGGCATTTTTAAATACCTTATACAGTTCATATACAGATGCAAGGTACATATAGGGATTGGACAAAACGAATGTGAACACCTGGGAAATTGGTGATATTTCTTTATTAAGGTATTTTATTAAGGTTAGCTTCCAACCTTCTTAGAATTGATTCATACAACTTTTGAATATCATGACATTTGTCAATTGCTTCAGAGATGTTTGAAGGAGGGATTCTGCTTCTCACTCTAATATTTTTAATATTACACAAGAATATTTTTTGAATATTTAATATGAAATTAACTAATAATATATATTTTTTCTTTCTTTAGAATTAAGTTTGATGCAAAGATATTCATGAATGTAGCTTAAGTGTCCAAATTCTTTTTGGGGCCCCTACATTCTTTAGAATGTCCATTTCTCACATGTAACTCCCTCTTTATCTTTGTCATTTCAATTCACATCCTCACCTCTCTCTCCTGGGCTGTCCGCCCAGACCATGCACGTAAGATTGAGTTGATCAGGTACCTGATGAGCGGGTACGTGCACGGCCAAGTGTTGGACACGATCTCGGAGCATGCAAACGCATTGGCTTCCACGGCCGTCGCCAGTCTAGAGGAAGGGGTAGATGAGCTGTCCCACTTCCCCTTCCTCCCTACACCCAACAGCCCCATTCTCAGAGTGCCCAAACACGACGGTTGGTACAGAGCCTCAGAGGTGCAGAGTAGTTTAGATCGATAGAGTTTGGGTCTGTGCTGTGCTTTAATGTACTGTGGCCCTAGTGTAGCCCATCATCCCTACCCAATGACAGAATCCCAGTAGATGTTCTTTTAAATGTAGATATTCCTAATGCCGAAGATAAGCAATAAAAGCTTTTCCTTGAGCTGCTGTGTTTTCAAGTGTCACTCTCTCTTATTTTTTCTCCCTGGTTGATCTAGACTCCAGTGACAGCTGCTTCGTGTTTCCTTTTGTGTTACTTTAAAGCTGTAGTGTGAATTAAATCTTGTTAGGTGTTTTCCATATTCTCTTGCTAGCTTCCCTCAAGATTTTTTTCCCCACAAATGATGAACAGCTCACCAAGTTACACAAGTGTTTTTCCTCCATCTCTGTGCATAAGATTTACTGCAGCTTTTCCCCAGCGTGATTGACTCCAACCAAAAAATACAGAGCGCTGAAAGAATTCGAGTGCCACCCCTTAATTGAAGTTTTAGGAGCACATCAGCTGTATTGATTTTCCCGATGTAGTATAGAGTTTCTTGTGGCTGATTTTTTTTTTTAAAGTCTACATAATGACCCTCCTTTAAGCTGATGCTTTGTTTTCTCACATTACGTGACTCATGCTCATATTGTTTATCTGTCATGTTCAGCATTTTTTTTATAGAACTTAGTGAAAAAAAGAGGCTAGTTTAAATACATCAGCCATATGGTGCACCATATTCCTGCCCTATTAATAATTCACTTGCCTTGCAGTGCCAGCCACCAAACTGAACACCATTACTAAGTCCAACCTGGGTCAGTGTGTGAGCAAGTATGACCTGGTGGCTTGGTTCGAGATCAGTGAACTGGAGCCCACTGGAGAGTAAGTGAACCATTCTGACATCTACATACAGGCCCAACATTTCTGGTTAAAATGGTTTTACTCGGTTGTCTCAGTAAGCAGCATTTATAGAGAATTTGTATAGTTTAAAATGTTGCTCTAAAGGCTGTTTGCACATATAAATGATGTGTTGTTTATTGTAGGTATATCCCAGCAGTAGTTGATCACACAGGAGGTCTTCCCTGTCATGGCACGTACCTTTTGCACCAGGTATTTATTCTGGCTTTCACTAATATGAGTATAAATATTTGCTTTTTACAATTATTCGGTTACAATTCTTCTTTTGGTGTCAGTTTGCTTTTGTTTGATTAGTTTTATATATGTATATATACAGGGCCAAAAATGAACACTCACCAAGTGCTTGTAAAAATTGGCATTGGCGAGTATATGAAACGGTGTCAATCGCCAGTTGGCTGGTAACATTTTTTTTAATTCTAACAATGCGATATTGTAAGAACATGAATCACGACAGTTAACGGGCCAGTGCTGCATCGTCACGAAATTTTAAGCCTTTCCAATATAAATATTTAAGTGCATTACTCGCGTGCTGTGTAGAATGATTTCTGTGAAAGCGTGCGCCCAGAAAAGTCCCGTCTCAGACAGTGTGTGAATACTGAATTAAGCTCCGTTTGATGCCGCCTTGTGCTTAAACAGACAAATTCATACAAAATTGTCAAAAAATGCTCGTCTCTGTAAACCTAGTCGGTTATGTCTTAAGGGGACATAAACAGTTGAGAAAGATAATGCATGTGTATCATTATATTGGATCTGTGCATTCGGTCTTTAAGTGACAGCATCCTAATAATCCTGCTGCTGTTTGTATTTTTAATGTTAATCAAACAACAAAGACAAAAATCACCCTGCTCTTGACTGAATAACTTTTGTAACTTAAATAAGGATTAATCTAAGTTTAATGTATACAGTAAATACTATGCAGTGTTTTTTTTTTTTTCGATTTGATGACATGACTAAATTTCTCAGAAATAGAGAAATCTGAAATGTACATTATGGTGTAATGTTCTCTGTTTTTGCAAAAATTTTCTTAATGTTCTTAAGTCAAAAGTTAGTTTTAGACCCTATATATTATAAAATTAAGATAATTAATAATAAATTAAAAACATTCTATATATACAAAAATGCAACTGGATGAACAATATTGTACTGGAATAATGACAAAAAATAGGCCAGAAAAAAGCAACAACTGTATATTGTATATTATTATATAAATTATGATTGAACTTTGAATACTGTTATCAATGCATTACATTTTCATAGATGTCTGCATTGCAATGCACTCTGGTCTTGTGTTCTTCTGTCTCTACGTTCTATTAATATTAAATTCTTTCTCCATTTGCAGTCAGGAAATCTGTAGTTTAGCCTAAGGATCATGTTCATTGTCCTTAGCCAAGGACATATAAATGATTCAAATTGAGATTTCTTTTAGTAACCTGTGTTGCTTGTGTTTTCAGGGCATCCAACGTAGAATAACTGTCACTCTGATCCATGAGAAGGGCAGTGAGCTGCATTGGAAGGACGTCAGAGAGCTGGTTGTTGGTCAGTACAAATTTTGTTTCTGAAATCTTAAATAGAACATATAATTGTTATTAGCACAGCTGTAATGCTGTATTGACCAATCAGCAGCCAGGATCGTAAAACATCCGTTTTATGAAGTGTATTGTGAAGGCTACACCCATCTGACATCGGCTCATTGTGCCTGTTGTAGGTCGAATCAGGAATAAGCCAGAAGTGGATGATTCAGCTGCAGACGCAGTCCTGTCTCTCAACATTATCTCAGCTAAAAACTTGAAATCTTCCCACAACTCCAGCAGGTACGCTGTGTTCGCTCTCCACATTTGACAACCTAAGGACCTTTTCCCAGTAAAGGGCCTATTAAATCAAGTATTAAGCTCATTTATCTGTCTGCAGTCAGTGGCAGGTCTGCAAAGGGTCTGCAAATGCTCTACTCACCTAATGCAAATGCATCTACCTAACTGCTTATAATTCAGGAGAGCATGTTGAACATGAGTCACCGCTGGGAAAAATCCTGCAGGGATCAAGAGAGCCATCTAGTGGACCAAAAGAAAAACAGCAATTTAACCAATAAGCACAGTGCCCTGTACAGCTCTATTTATTTAGAAAATCTGCATGTTGTGTTCTTTTAATGATGCCAGTTTGCTTTATTCTCTCGTTTGCTCATTTATTTCCTTTGCCTGTTTAATCTGAATGCTGCTTTTTGTCTTTTGATTTGTAAATATTTCTGTTGCCTGACTGTTTCTGCTTGTTTTGTCTCTCTTTTTGTTCTCGTCCTTTTCCTGCTGCGGTTGGATTCTTGGTTTTGCTCAGCCTTTGTATTGATAGCGATATTGCTAGGTATCAGAACCACCTGATCATAAAGCATTTTTACCATCAAAGTGCTTTATGAGATGTTTGTGATCTGTAGGCGTAACAGTAGCAGACCTATGTACTGCATCTGTGTTAGTGTTTCTCTCTTAACTCATTCTACATAATAGTATGAATTAAGGTGAAGTATTACTGTTGAATGTGCAAAGAAAAAAAAAACTCAAAAAATTGCTATATTTAAATGCAAAATTAAAATTTTATTTTATTGGGCCTTACCCATTTAAACTTAAATATGGAAATTAGACATCACATTATTAAATTTAAACACATTTGCATATTAAGTGATTTAGACTCCACCTTTGTTTAAATGTAATCAACAGACAAAAACTCAAACCCTTTTGTCATATGGTTATTTAATGTATTATTTGCTTATATGTGCATGTACTGTAAGTGAACATACATTTCCCCTTTTTTAAGATAAAATGGCTCATTAAATTGGCCAAATTTATATATAATATGAGATTGATTATGTTTTCTTTGTCATTCTAAGAAAATAAATCTTTATTTAATAAAATGTATTAAATGTGTATATGTATATTTAATATATCTAAAAATATAATTTAAATTGTGTATAAGTTTTTTTCATTGCTTTTGCATGTAGTATCTCACCTTAAAACTATTAAATAGATGAGCTTTTGCCACCATATATCTTTTAAAAAACATCTGAATGAATGTAGATCTGACATTTCCTTTGATTATACTCTACATTCACTGTATTATTACATTTGGCTTGTTAGCAGCTGAAATCTGAAATGATGAGTCTAAATACAGACGCAGGCAAGCCTTTGTGCATCTGTGCCATTTAAACAATGAAATAAGAATGAGAAAGGGAGGGGAGGGAGTGGAGAAAAAGATACAAGGATATTTGAGGATGAGTCACCTGTGTGAATCTCATTCTCTGTCTCCATGTGTCCGTTCATATAAATTGTGTGCCTTTGCTTATAGTCTTTACAGCGCTGTAGCTCTGAGTCACACACACGCACACTGCTTCCTCACAGTCTACTTCAAGCTCACACCAGATCACTATTAATGTAGCACCTGTCAACACTCTGGTGTTGTGTCGATCACTATGCGACTCGAACGCATCAACAAAGTATATGGCCACAGAGATTTCCCAACAGCGTGTGATACAGCTGTCATTACACCTCATGTTTTTCACAGTGAGATTGTCTGTCTATTAGCACCATCTGTGAGCTGAAAGTTTGCAGGCAGCATAGCTAATATATTTATTGTAGAAGCCTGATGCTTCACTGTCATATGTGCAGTTAAAAGTCAACATGAAATCAAAATTGAACCTATTTTCTTCAATTTTACTGTTAATACACATTTTTGGCCTTATTGGGAATAATTCATTGGTGCATGTTAAATAAAGAGAGACAAATTTTTATTTTGATAATCGTTCAGGTACGACACTTCAAGAGTTTGGGGTCAGTAAGATTTTTGTTATATTTTTTGAAAGAAGTCTATGTTCACCAAGGCTGCATTTATTTGATCAAAAATACAGTTAAAACTAAAATATTGTGAAATATTATTACAATTTAAAATAACTGTTTTCTATTGTAATATATTTTAAAATGTAATTTATTCCTGCGATGCAAAGCTGATTTTTTTTTTGCATCATTACTCAAGTCAAGAAATCTGCTAATATGCTGATTTGGTGCTTAACATTTCTTATTATTATCATCAATGTTGAAAATACATTTTTCCCCCATGATTCTTTGATGAAAAGAAATATCAAAAGAACAACATTTATTTAAAATGGAAATTGTTTGTAACAAAGTTCTAAATGTCACTTTTTATTTTTTTAATGTTTTTTTATTTATTTATTTTATAAATACATCCTTGCTGAATAAAAGTATAATTTTCTATTATAAAAAAATACTGGCCTCAAACATTTTGAATGGTAGTGTAAATGTAATAACTTTTCATGATCCAGTCAATTCCCATTTTTTTATGTTATTGTATATTCTGTTTCACTCAGAAATGTGACCCTGGACTTATGTGTCCATTTTTTTAAATTGAGATTTATACATCACCTGAAAGTTGAGTAAATAAGCTTTCCATCGATGTATGGGTTGTTAGGATAGGACAATATTTGGCCGAGATACAACTATTTGAAATCGGGAATCTGAGGGTGCAAAAAAATCCAAATATTGAGAAAATCGCCTTTAAAAGTTTCCATTTCTGTTGGAGATTGTGCTGCATCCACTTACAAAAATAACATTTTGATATATTTAAGGTAGGAAATTTACTAAATATCTTCATGGATCATGATATTTACTTAAAGGGATACTCCACTTTTTTTGGAAATAGGCTTATTTTACAACTCCCCCAGAGTTAAACTGTTGAGTTTTACCGTTTTTGAATCCATTCAGCCGATCTCCGGTTCTGGCGGTACCACTTTTAGCATAGCTTAGCATACATCATTGAAGTGGACAAGACCATTAGCATTTCTCAAAAAAAAATGACCAAAGAGTTTAGATAGTTTTCCTATTTAAAACTTGACTCTTCTGTAGTTACATCGTGCACTAAGACCGACGGAAAATGTAAAGTTGCGATTTTCTAGGCTGATATGGCTAGGAACTATACTCTCATTCCTGCGTAATAATCAAGAAACTTTACTGCCGTACCATGGGTGCAGCAGGCGTAATGATATGACGCAGCGCCTGAAAATAGTCCCCAGCTCGGTAACTTCCAACATGACCGGGACTGCCTGCGCCTGCTGCACTGTAACTACAGAAGAGTCAAGTTTTAAATAGGAAAAATATCGAAACACTTTGGTCATTTTTTTTTGAGAAATGCTAATGGTCTTGTCCACTTCAATGATGTATGCTAAGCTATGCTAAAAGTGGCACCGCCAGAACCGGAGATCGGATGAATGGATTCAAAAACGGTAAAACTCAACAGTTTACCTCTGGGGGAGTTGTAAAATGAGCCTATTTCCAAAAAAAAGTGGAGTATCCCTTTAATATCCTAATGATTTTTGGCATAAAAGAAAAATCGATAATTTTGACCCATAATGTGGCTATTGCCACAAATATACCCGTGCAACTTAAGACTGGTTTTGTGGTCCAGGGTCACAAATGTAAAATGGGTTGTGAATGACATTTCATGTTGTCTTTAAGCACATCCACACACGCTCCAAAAAAAATAGTGAATAGCATAATTAATCACTTAAGCACCAGTAAATATCCTTCCATGGATTCATATTGTGTCTATATCCTTAAATCGAATGTATTTCTCCTTTCTCAGGACGTTCTACCGGTTCGAGGCTGTCTGGGACAGTTCCCTGCACAACTCTCTCCTGTTGAACCGTGTCACTCCCTACGGAGAGAAGATTTACATGACCCTGTCAGCCTATCTGGAGGTCAGCCTTGACTCTTTTTAAAGGACTAGTTCTTTAGAAGCAGGTTTTACAGCATTGACGTGTGCTTACCACTTCCCTGCAGCTTGATCACTGCATCCAGCCTGCCATCATTACCAAGGACATCTGCATGGTCTTCTACTCCAGAGATGCTAAGATCTCTCCTCCACGCTCCCTGAGGAACCTGTTCGGCAGTGGTTACTCCAAAACCCCCGACTGGTATAATTTTTGAATTTTTTTTATTTCTTTAACCACAAAAAAACTCAAATGTTTCTGATGGTTAGTTGACTTAAAATACTTTTAGGAGATATCCTGCATTGCGACATGCTGTACTCCATCTAAAACTATTTTAAAGTGCATTTTAGCAAATTTTGTCAAATTTTACCTAATTTCTGAAAGACTACATGGAATATTAATGTTAATAATAAAAATTAAATGATGGACTAGTTAAAGGACAACACTCCCTTACACATTCATATAAATGTTAAACAAAAATCGTGATTTTGATTAAAGAAAATGTTGATGGACATCACATCTTAAACATCAACTATCATTAAAGTCTTGAAATGGGTGTCTGTCAATTTGCTATGTGTTTAGAAACTTTGCCAACACTTGTTTTCTGATGTGTTTCCATTACAGTAATAAAGTGACAGGAATCTATGAGCTTAGCTTGTGCAAAATAGCTGACACAGGAAGCCCAGGTAAGATTTTCCTAAAAACCTTTTTTTTTTTTTTTTTTTTTTTACAAAAAAACATTTGAAAAAAACATTTGCATTAAATTGATCAAAAGTGACAAAGTCATTTATAATGTTACTTAAGATTTCTATTTTAAATAAATGCTGTTCTTTTGAACCTTCAATTTGTAAAAAAAATCCTGGAAAAAATGTATCGCGTTTCCAAAAAAATATTAAGCAACACAACATTTAAAAAAAAATTGTCTTGAGCATCAAATCAGCATATTAGAATGATTTCTGAAGGATCATGTGAAACTGAAGACTGAAGTAATGATGCTGAAAATTCAGCTTTGTATCACAGGAATAAATTACATTTTAAAAATATATTAAAATAGAAAACAGTTATTTTTAATTGTGATATTTCACAATATTACTTTTTACTGTATTGTAGCTTAAGCAAATGCAGACTTGGTGAGAAGAGAGTTCTTTCAAAAGCATTAGAAAATATTACTGACCCCAAACCTTTGAATGGTATTGTAAATGATTTATAAAGAATATTAATAAAATGGATATTACAAATAATGAATAAATATATGATTTCAACTTCCACAGTTTTGTACAAAAATTTAGCGAGATGATTTTTCTATTTAGCATGAATGATTCTGCATATTGATATAATAGGCCTGCTATATCAATCAATTTCATTGTTGTTTTTCAGGTATGCAGCGGCGGAGGCGGAAGGTTCTGGACACATCTGTGGCGTATGTGCGTGGAGAGGAAAACCTGGCAGGCTGGAGACCCAGAGGAGACAGTCTGATCCTGGAGCACCAGTGGGAGCTGGAGAAACTCGAGCAGTTGCATGAGGTGACGATAGAAGACTTTCACACTCTATGCTGCCTGTGTTTATCTGTAATATCCCACAGGCAGTTGTGATCTCCAGACCCTGATGTCCATTTCTGTCTTTGCCAGGTGGAGAAGACCCGTCACCTGCTGCTGCTCCGTGAGAAACTGGGTGAGGCGCCTCCTCCTAAATCCCTGAGCGAGTCTCTGTCTCCCAGTCTGAGCAGCGGCACCCTCAGCACCTCCACCAGCATCTCCTCCCAGATCTCCTCCACCACCTATGAGAGCGCCATCACGCCCAGTGAGAGCAGCGGATACGACTCTACAGACATCGAGAGCTTGGTAGACCGTGAGAAGGAGCTGGCCACTAAGGTAAAAGACCCTACAAGTACTACTTTAATAATATTTGTTGCGATTTTAATATACGATTCTTTATTAAATCCTTAAATACTGTGTTCCATTTGAAGTCAGATATAAGAGATTCCTACTTGATGTGTCTGGTTTGCCATACATTATATGACTATTTTCATTCAAATCTGTTGCATTTTAGGTGCATTTTATAGGTATACGTTTTCCCTACGTGTGTGCAGTCTGGATTGCGCCATTCTTATGTGACATCATATAGCTGCTATTAGAGCTCCCACTTCATATGACTTTCTATTACACTTTTCCAAGTAGAATCTTGGAAATCCCAACTTAATCTTAGGCACTTATATAGGCCTACAATTCAACCATTCACAAATTTGGGGTTGGTAATAAAAAAAAAGTTTCTTATGCCTACTTACAAAAAAACATTTTGTGTTTGTTATTAAAAAAAACCCAGTAAAAACAGTGAATTTTGTGGTGAAATATTATTACAACTAAAAAGGACTGTTTTCAATTTTAATATATTTAAAAATGTAATTTATTCATGTGAATTAGAGCTCAATTTCAGCATTATTACTCCAGTCTTCAGTGTCACATGATCCTTCAGAATTCATTCTAATACGCTGATTTGATGCTCAAGAAACATTTCTAATTATTATCAATGTTGAGAACAGTTGTGCTGCTTACTTTTTTTGTGGAAACCATGATTCAGGATTTCTTGATTCTATTCTTTAAATAGAAATTTAAAGAAGTATTTATTTGTAATATAATTATTGAAGTATCCTTACTAAATAAAAGTATTAAGTGTATATTGTATGTCTATTAGAAGGTGTGTTTATGTCTTTTGATTTCATTTGCAGTGCCTCCGTCTCCTGACACACACTTTCAATAGTGAATACCAGATGTGCAACAGCATCAGTGACTGCAAGGTAACCTGGACTTAGATGGTTCGTTTAATTTGATTTGTTCCAGTTCATACAAAACTGGTTGTTTTTCACTGTGTTTTGTCTCTTTCAGTTGTCAGATATCTCTCCTATGGGCCGGGATCCATCCGTTACTAGTTTCAGCAGTGCTACTCTCACACCCTCCTCCACCTGCCCCTCTCTGTCAGACTCTCGGTACAGTTCAGATGTTAAAAAAAAAAACAATACATTCCAAATACAGTCTTCTAAAAGTGAAGTATCCTAAAAACATCTGTCTTGTCCAGGACCCCTGAAGCTAATTCTCGTGCCACCAGCCCCTCATGCTCAGACTATGAGAACTTCCCCATGGTGCCCATTCTGGAAACATCCTACCTGGCCCGTGCCGGCAAACACGAATTCCTCAACCTTCTGCCTGATATTGAGGAAATGAGACCTGGGTGAGAGTTTTGACATACCTGGCACATTTATTTTTGCGCTTAGTGCATTCTCGCTAGGATCAATGTGAATTTGTGCACTTAAATCATTCAGGCTGTTATGAGGCAGCAGAGACGTTGGCTGTAAATAAATATGCTGGTCTGACATGCCCTTCTGTGTTCACTAAGGTCTGTGGTATCAAAGAAGGGATTCCTCAGTTTTATGGAGCCCCGTTCCAACTCTTGGGTGAAGCACTTTGTGGTGGTACGTCGGCCATACGTGTTCATCTACAACAACGACAAGGACCCGGTAGAGAGAGGAGTGCTGAATTTATCCACTGCCCAGGTGGAGTACAGCGAAGACCAGCAGGCCATGCTCAAGGTAAAGCCTCATTCACTATTTGGAAATCAACTGTTGTCATGTGATATATGTCATCTGAATGCTTAATTATTGCTTTTTGATGGCTTGCAGACACCCAATACATTCGCCGTGTGCACCAAGCACAGAGGGATCCTCCTCCAGGCCAACAATGACAAAGACATGAATGACTGGCTATACGCCTTTAACCCACTCCTAGCAGGAACGATAAGGTACACATCCCTACCTTTGCCAGAAAAAAGAGGTTTTTATACAATATTTTTGGTACGATTACCTATAGTTAACCCAGTCTAATGTGTCCTCTCCACCTTTATTTTGCAAATATTCTTTGCATTGGGTAACAAAATATTAAACTAAGGCCCTGTTTACACCTCGTATTAAGATGTGTTTTGGTCAATTGGATCACAAGTAATCGAGGGAGACACATTTCAGTTTGCACCTGGTGTTTTAATCCTTCAAGTTTCTTTTGTCCACTTTCGACCACTTCTGTCCTGATTTCTTTGGGGTCTATGGGCGGGTAAATGTCTGAGCTTTTCCAGATCTTTCGATCTAATGGATGAAATAAGCTCACGCAATTTAAATGAATGTGACCGTAGATGACGGAAAAACATACAGAGAGCAGAAGCTTTTGTTGTCCTGCTCTGAAAGCAGCAAGGCCAGGCCAAACGCTGTGAAATCAGGAATGGTGTGAAGAAAATTGTGCTTGGTATTCGGGTCTTCTTTAAGTCCTGTCTGGCTAGCGCGCTTCCCATAATGTTTACGCATTAGGTCAGGAGGAGGAGAGTAGGTGGTCCTTTGGTGTTTGTTTGAGCATATTCGACCACATGAGCATCTACACTACGAAAGCAATCCGGTCTAATGCGTTTTCAACTACCTCTAGAAATGTGTTGGAAAGTGGACAAGCTCAAAATGTTTTAGACCTCGCTTGAACCTGTACTTCGAGTCGTTCACCTGACTCTTTCCATGTTCTCCTACAGGTCAAAGCTGGCGAGGAGACGGTCCGGCCTGATGAAGAACTGAACGAGCGTGCATAAATGCAGAGATAGTCCTCTTTTCTCTCTGTGTCTACCTTTACAACGTACCAAGTGTGTTAACACTTTAAATCTTTGTGGTTCTTGACGGTTTCCTCTTGTATGTAGACCTGTGGCTCTGTTCTCCTCTCCAGCAAATGAACTTTGAGTTCCTGAACACCAACTCCCTCTCCCCCCCCTCTCTATTGTGTTATTGATTGGATTAATTCTGTCTTCAGTTTTTGTTATTTGTCATAACTGAACCTCCTTCAAGTAGCATGTTGTAATAGTCTATTTGTGTGTGCACGAATCTTCAGGGCAGGTTCTGCTTTCACTTGAGTTACTCTCGTCTGTGAAGATCATTCTTACAGTGTTGTCTGCCAGGAAAATCGTACCCATGTGGCAACAACCACAACCCTCAGGAGAAAGTTGGCTTGCTTAAAAAAAGAATAATAATAAAATATTATATTATAATGTATTATAATATAAGATATTCCATATTTAATGATCAACTTTCTCCGATAGAAGATATAGAAAACAAAAACAAATAGCTTTGCTCCAGATATTGCTGAAAAAAGAAAAAGATTTTTAGATGGACCAACGCACTTCTTGAAAATGCTTAATTTTCAAAACGAGACAAAAATGGCCCCCTAAACTGAATGTTACTGCAGTATTGGCTTATTGGATTTTTCTGAATCAAAGCAAGCCGTGATAGTCGGGATGTTGACCATGTACATACAGCCGTTTACTCGCCCAGCCTGTTGTAATGTATTTGCTTGACATTTAATTAATTCCACATATCAAGGACGTAAAACATACCATTAACAAAGTACAGTATGTAATCATAAGACATATAATACCAAGGAAAGATGATCTCTCACATATCGGTAGCCTACAGGAGTATTCTGCTCGATTTCAACGATTTCCTCAGTAGATTAGGCTAAAAAAAATGGTGCAAAAGAATTACCTTAGACACAGAACACCTAACCGAATGAATCCATTTGTACATAACTTTCAGGATTACGGTGCATAACGCTATTCATGGGTTTCTATACTTACTGTATTACTAAAACACCATTTTCAGGGCTGTTTTAGCATGAAAGATCTGATGGGTTTGCCTCTTCTAAAGACCAAACGAATGAGTGAGGTACTGATTTCATTGGTTACGGTTTCCAAATGATGGATTCAATTATTTTTCGCTGTTTCTAGAGAAATCTCAAGTCAGCAGGAGCATTAAACCAGTCTTTTTTCTTCTTGAGAATTAAGCATCACTTTTTAATATTATTGAACATTTACCATGTATCTCTACTGATTATCTTAACTTATTTTTATTAACATGTGATCAGTGTTTTACATAATACAATGAAAGGCAAGAAAGGCACTTTTCCTCATTTTTATTCAGCTGTTCCCATTTACTTGCAGTGAAACAGACCAAGTTTGACACTAAAACAGTTTCATCACTGTCAGTAGAAATTGGGCCATTTCTGCAGTTCACTGCAGTGCAGTGTGCAGTTCCAGTGAGAGAAAAGGGATGGTATGTGTTCTGCTTTTCTTTTTTTATTGTTTTTGATTTGAAAATCTTTGCTCTATGTTTGAAAACTTGCACACGTGCTGAAGTTACCAGTGATTCAGTTTGATGGAAGATTCAGGCGACACAACAGTCCTCTGGTCAGACAACCAGCAGGAATTATTGTCACAGGGAGACTGATCACTGTCATTCCTTAGGAAGTCAATATTCTTGCTGCTCATATTTTCACAGGAAACGCATGAAAATGGCTCGGAAAGTCAAGTCCTTGGGTCAGCCAGCCCGTAGGCCTCATCTGAGCTGTTGGATTGTTACGGCATTTGTGAAAATATTGAAATTGAATATTCAGATCTGGCACATAGTAATGAGCACTGAAGGATCGCTTTTATATAATTACATGAGTTGATGTTACGGATATTTGCCAGGGCAAAGGTTTTTGACTTTTTTTTTCTTTTTTTTTACCATCTTTGTTGAGTGGCTTGGTTGACTAAAGTGATATTCATAATGAATTTCATTAACTGTATTTATTGTTTTGCAATGTATATATTAGTTTGCAGCTCTTTGCACATAATGTGTTTATACAACTAACAACAGAACAAATAAAGCTTGAACTATGTTGTTGTTTTCTCAAATGGAAACCAAATGATTTTAGGTTGTGGTGTTTTACTCATTGAAGTGGACTTTGAATGTACCTTGAGTTTCACAAGAAGATGCATGAATTATCTGATGAAAGAAGAAAAATATCTTAATTAGGGACTGACATGTTGCTGCGCTTCTTAGTTCTTGAAATAGGAATTTGACCATGTTATAAGGGCACTTTTTCACATGTAGTTTAGATACGGAGGGCAGAGTTGTGACGAGGCCTGTTCATTTTCATTTCTAACATCAGGGAATATATTTTCTAGAAATATAACATTATGTTTGGCTTTTCCTGATGCATTGACCTCTTTGTTTTTGTGCTCACTCATGCATTTTTTCCCATGCTGCCTTTGAAGCAACCCTGGCTTTACTGTATCACCCTTATCAGAAGCCTAATGTTTCCAGATGAACATCATTCCCTCTCATTGTGATGAAACAACAGAAAACAGTTCAGCCATTTTCATTAACACTGTACATTATTTGTCAGATTGGCTTCATTTTCATACTTATTTTGTAAATATTTCATGTTGTATGGAACTTGGATTAAAATGTAAATATGTCTTCTGTATTTGTAATAATTATAATCCATTCGCTGTATAGCCTAGACGTGTAATGCATATATCTTAATTCTGTGTATGGTAATCTTGCACCATTGACCTGTTTAGTGAATGAGGTAGAAAAATAAAATTACAACCAGTGCATTAGACGAAGAATGGATCTCGTTTTGTGTCTATCTTTCCACAATACTTTGCATTAAATATTTAATTTTTATCTTGTCTACATTGGTGTCTTAGTTTCAAAGGCCATTATTTAGTTATAGTAACATTTCACGTTTCACAATATTTAACATTAGATTTCTACTCAAATGAAGATATTTTAATGAGATCTGAGAGCAACTGAAACTTTGCCGCTTCATAAAGTCCATAAAGCAATCATAAAAATAATCCATATGAACTGAGCGGTTTAGTCAAAATGACTTTTTGCAGGTTGGGATGTCTGCTAGCTAACTGATGACAGAATTTTCATTTTTGGGTGAACTATTCCTTTAAGATGCAAAAAAAGCTTGTTTTATTAAATAATTGACAAAAGCATCTAACAAATACTAACCCAGGAGTTGAGCGCATCAAAACAAAACAAAAAATTTGACACGTTCTGTGAAGTCTGATTGTATCATGAAAATCAAGAATTTATTTGCATAAATAAAGTAACATTGGAACATTTTTAATATTGCAATTTTTATAAAAGAAAGAAAAACAGCTATTTACCTGTTTTACGTATTAATAATAAATAACCGAAACATCTTAGCTATTTAATAAAGTTTATCTTCAAGCTTTTCAAAAATTTTACTCTATCTATTAGCCTATTAGTCATTAATAACTTATTACTAACCTTAAAACGGAACAATTATTTCATTTAGCGGTTTAAAGGGATAGTTCGGCCAAAAATGATATTTAAACCATGCATTACTCACCCTCAAGCCGTTCGAGATGCATATCCTCCTGGGACCCAAGAATAGACTTTTGTCCACTGTAGTGGACATTATATTTTAGTGAATTTCTCTGACATCATACATGTCACATGACACAACCTGGGTGTCCTGTAAAGAGCACATTCAGGACTTTTCAGAGATACCAAATGTTTGGAGGTTTCACCATGAAAACAACTTCTCCTTGGTCTTTAAAAATGTCTGACATTAATTTAGTGATCAAATGTAGCATTCTTATGGAAATATGATAATATATTGTAATTATAATTTAAATTGGACTACTTTTCAAATTGTATTTCATAAAACAACATCTCAGGAAAATGTTAAGGGGTTTCAAATAAAAAAAAGACTTTCTGTTACAAAACAGGACATTGATTTCAAACGTGCCCACTGTAGAGGACATCAGGACTAAAATCATGTTTATCAGGCATTCTGGGAGACACAACAAGTGAATATGGAAATAAATTATACATCAATATTCCTATGAAATATTAGATATTATTATTAAAATGTTGCCAATTATTACTCCAATTATTACCCTTATTTTTTCATTAAATGTTGCTCCAAGAACACATTAATGTGCAAATTAGATACAGTGTATAGATACATTGCATTGAATGGGAATATTAACTTATGGCCATTTTACCCACATATTGCAAAAAGTAAAATGGTGTATATATTCATTCCATTATTTCTTTCATAACATAGTTGAGAATAATCTTTATACAAATTTTGGTTGAAAAAATCCTGAAACCCCAAAATGTATTGGTGATTGAAAAAAAAATCCCATTGGTTTTGCCTATACATATAATTTCATGTCATTTTATTTTTTAAACAACTTAGTCCTGGCGTCCACTACAGAGGACATAGCATAACGTATGAATAAAATATTATTTTATATATATGTTTTTTTACCATTTGTTTATTGTGCTCTAAACAGTGTGATGACATGGAAAAAAACTAAATTCAAAAAACTTTTTTTTTCTGGGTCTCAGGAGGATATGTCAATCTTGTTTCAGACGAACACATTTTCAGTTATTTTAGAAAATGTCTTAGACCCTTCAGTGGATATAATGTGAAGCAATGGGGTCCACCTCCTTCAAGTCCCAAAATGTGCATATATCCTTCACAGAAGTCATCCATCCGGCTCCAGGGGGATAAACGAAGGCCTTATGAGGGTAATCCGTGCGGTTTTGTCGTAAAAATATACATATTTAAAACTTTATAAATGAAAATATCTGACTTCCGGCAACGATCGATGCACGTTCACGGGTGATGTTTTGCTCTGCTCTCTGGCTGCGCGGGCGCGTTCGTTCTACGTCACGACGCTACGTCCTACCTCGTACGCCGACTTCCATCACCCGTGGACGCGCGTCGATCGTTGCCGGAAGTCAGATATTTTCATTTATAAAGTTTTAAATATGTATATTTTTACGACAAAACCGCACGGATTACCCTCATAAGGCCTTCGTTTATCCCCCTGGAGCCGGTTGGATTACTTTTGTGAAGGATATATGCACATTTTGGGACTTGAAGGAGGTGGACCCCATTGCTTCACATTATATCCACTGAAGGGTCTAAGACATTTTCTAAAATAACTGAAAATGTGTTCGTCTGAAACAAGATTGACATATGCATCTCGAACGGCTTGAGGGTGAGTAATGCATGGTTTAAATATCATTTTTGGCCGAACTATCCCTTTAATATGCAGTATTTTCACAATTAAACTTTTAAACCAATTAAACGCATGTAAAGTTTCGCAATTCATAAGTCGTTATCTGTAAGTGTAGTAATCTACTTAATTAATAATTAAACAATTTGATGAAATTTGATTCACTATAGTGATGCAACTTTGCCCTACAAAGTCAAACGTCAGCCTCAGAGTTCATCACAGAAAATCTATTTCTCCATTTACTTTCATGCCAAATGCTGCTCGTACCATAGACTATAAAAAAAAGGTCGTACACGTACAGCTCGTCAACTTCATCTGACAGTGACACAGACGGGGAGGAGGGACAGACCCAGACAGCCAATGAACAGCCTCTAATCTCTGCTCAGA